TATTCGCTGTTTGTTTTAATTTTTATTTGATTTTTTTAATTTAGAAATAAAATTATAATTTGTTCATATTGACTTATTGAAAGCGCTTGCAGCCACCACAGCTATATATTTTGTGTACCCTGACCCCCGTACTCACCGATAGAAACAACACCATAGTTAGTCTCGGAAATTTGCAGTGAATAAAATGGATCGGGAAAGGACATTGTTTTAGATAAGGTAGGTTTTTATCATAGAAGCTCTCTTTAAGGAGTTGAAAGGGTTGATGTTAGTTTGTATAGGAAACTAATAATGTCCATGTAGAGGAAGTCGCGAGCACCGGCTAGTTAATAACTATTTATGAGTTCATTTCAGCAGTTCGAGAAAAAGCTGGTATGACAATATATTCGAATAGAAAAAGCTCCTTACACAAACTCTTCAAAATGCCACTTGTATAAGGATTTTATTCAAGAATATATCAATATGGGCCACATGAAACCATCAACTTACAAACAACACAGTCAGCAGAATTACGTACCACATCATGGCGTCTTGAGGGAACTTCTATCACTACCAAACTGAGAACAGTATTTAACGCATCTCAGAAAACGGTCGGAGGTTGCAGCCTTAATGACGTCATGGAAAAGGGTCCTAATTTCCAAAAAGACATAAAGTCGCTTATACTACTCTGGCGGACCTACAAATACGTTTATACAGCGGTATATTTTCTCAATATCCGCTTTTTATGGCAGCCCTAACATCTATAATCGTTTTTTAATACTGCTGCTCACGGCTGTAACCTTGATGGGTAGATGACGTCACCAAAGCCGAACGAAGGCAAACCCGGTTTTAGGCACACATTTCGGCGCAAAAACAGATCATCACCGCACCGATTCGACTCGAGCTGTTCAAACAACGACAAAAATCTGTATTACGCCATCCACAGATAACAGAAGGAGGTTAGAAGCGTGTTCATAGACCGTTTTTTTTGGGTGTGTATGCTGTTGGCCGCAGATGACCTTTACAACGTCACCGGGTTTGGAGACGGCGAGATCCTAAGGGAACCTCAAGCCGAGAATTGGCGAGTGCGTCTAGAGGTATTCCAGACGGATGGCATTTCACCACGGGGGGAGACTCCCCCCGTCTGGAGCCTCTAGACCACTCGAACCTAAGGTGGTCGGCTCAACTAGAGGGCGTCTCTGCGACCTCGGCTCTAGTTAGCCGTTGTCATGGGGGGAGGTCATAGACCGTTTGCACGGGAATCGATGTCGCCGGCTCGCCCCCACTACAATTCCACCTAAGGGCGCGTTTATATGACACAGAATGTCACAGCGTAGCGGCCGCGCGGTCACCGCGCTGTGGTCGCGTAATAACTGTTCAGTCATAGCAAATTTATGTTATATTAACTAGGACTTAACGTTGAAATTCTTTGTGAGTAACTAACTGCGCACCGATCGCGCGGCGACCGCACGGCCGCCGTATGTTCGAGGAGTGGCGCCGCGCGTTTTAATTTTTTCGCGACGGTTATCTGCAGCCTAATAGATTTTGGGTGTATTCAGAATCAAACACTAGTACGCTGGCCAGTGGTAATGACGTCATGATTTCGACGCCATATTGACAACACTACTACTACACCAGTGCAGTATGGCGTCGAAATCATGACGTCATTACCGCTGGCCAGCGTACGTCTTTATATTTCGGAATACACCCATAGTCAATCAGATGACGCGACATCAAACAATCTAACCAATCAGCACTCACACCCGAGTGCTACAACAAAGCCCTTCTTAACTTCTTTCTGTGTTCAGTGGGGCCATCAGCATGCTACGGCAACGTGCAGAAAAGCGGCCTACTTTAACGTATAAGTGTCGCCGCACACGGGCCACAAGCCACAGCCACAAACGCCGCCACGAGAAGCTAGAAGCGGCTACTAAAGTGGCTGAAGCGCGCGACAGCGGCCGACTAAGGTAAGGGAGAGAGGGGTGGGAAATCGCGCGAGTGACGTGTGGCGGCGTTTTGTATCCACAACACCACAAGAAGCGAGCAACGACGATTTGCAGCGTGTGGCGACCACCGGCGTACCGTGTGGCAAGTCCATATAAAATGTATGAAAACTACAAGAAATATACCGGTGGCGGCGTTTTGTGGTTGTGGTCGGTGACCCGTGTGCGGCGACACTTAGACTTTTTATACATTTAAACAGATACGACAGATGAATCAACAGGAGTTCACCTCACCTGTTGAGAATATTAAGGTTCGAGGACCTCGGCGGAAAGAAAAAGGTTTGGAAACCTTGCGCTGTAGGTAAGGAAAACGTGACACCACTACTGTCCTTAGATATGCAAAACCACGAATATCAATGTGAAGTGAAATGCCAGCATCTCCTCCTCCTCCCATATGTATATATATATGGTTATGAGTATTTAATATAAGATGAACAAAATAAAATGTTCTGTACACAGAGCTACATTTACATATTTTAATAACCAATTTTGTTCGCAAACTAAAAATAAATAATATTCTAATACAAAAAGAAAATCTTTTCATATTAAAATATAAACCTCTGTTTGTGTTACATTACTAAAAGTGCGTAGTTGAGAAAACATGTGTGCAAATACTTTGAAACTATTATCTATGTAATATGTACTGTACATAGGTACCTACTTATTATGCAAAACCTTTTGCAAGTTTCATTAAATATGGACAATGGTTTTTACTTTCAGACCAATATAATAGATTCGTTTCCGAGTGTTTGCATGCGATAGGGTGGTAACCTGCTACTTTTGTTTCTTAACAATGGTTGGAACAAGTGCTAAATATACCGTTGAACTGTAGCTGTGTGATAGACCTGTAATTCAACATCATCAGCCTATTAATGTCCCCACTGCTGGGGCACAGGCCACAACCAAGATCAACAGCTTAATGCATGGAGGAATTCGAGATAATAAGTTTTTAGCAACAATCTAATGACTGACCATTGCCAAAGTTGCTTAACTTAATCAATCACGAACCTCCCTCTCAATAAATGAACTCTCAATAGACGAGTCGGAACTCTTGCACGAAGGGTTCCATACCATTACTTAACAACATTAGACACTATATTATAATATCAATGCTGGTTGAGCTATCTAGCCCCATATACCCTGTATGCACAATGCACCAAATACAGAGTCTACATGCGGAAATGGGGTCCCACAGCAAGTAATATCAATGCTATCAGTGTATGCCCTAAACAGGCTTATCTTGAGATACAAGAAAATATTTGTTACAAAATCAGTACGAAAACAATGTATTCCACAGCGGTTGGTGACCTCCATAACCTAACCGCCAGTGGTGACACTGGTATTGTTATCTCCAAAGCTGAAGGCATTTATTAATTGAGAAAGACGGCATATTCAAGTAGTTTCAATAATTCAGAACACACCACCTATATAATAAAATAAACTGTGCAAAATGAAGGATTACAATTCTGTTGCAATATTTTTTGAATCCTTCTAGTCTTATTTCATATTATAAATGTGAAAGTTTCTGCATTGTTACTCAATCACAGAAAAACTACTGAATGAATTTGGATGAAATTTGGTATGCATATAGTTTATGACCTGCATTGAGACATAAATACAAAATTACTTTGTGTGCGATTCTCAAAAACTAAAGTTAACACTGACGATGTTGCAGGCGGCCACTAGTGTAAAATAATGGTGTCAATGACCTTTACAATTACTATTTATTGTGCAATTTCACTACTTATTACCACAGGATGCTTTGCTTGTCTTCTATATTCGTTTTACTTCCATCTTCTATGTAAAATCAAGTTAGGGTAAACTGGTTAAAGTTTGTTAATTGTGGGTAGTTAAACATTTGAACCGTTTGATATGACACCCATATTTTGAAGTTTATGAGATGAAATGTAAACAGAGTGCACCAGCTTTCAAATTTATAATGTGAGTGTTAATGTCTGTTAAAAACCAAATAAGACAGTAGTATTTCCTTGTCACACTATATAGAGAGTGGAAAGAATAAATTGTTGTCAATTCCAGTTTTAAAAGACTCTGATCGGCAGTAATAGCCACAATGGATACAGCGGTGTTGATTCTGACATGATCCTATAAACCTAAACTTAAATTTGATAACAGTGTATCCTTGTCTTCTCTGTACAGAATGAAAAGGAGCGACTGATGTTAAATTTAGATTATGCCAGAATCAATACAAGTATGATTTTATTAATTAATTGTCATAGGCTGGCACTACTGTTTCTGTGTATGATATGTAAAACCCGAAGTATGCCAAATGTCATTGTTGAAGTGTGACTATGGGATAAACATCTATTCACTCTTTACACTTAAAGTGCATTTTTTATGTTTATACATTAATTTATTATAATGAGATATAAATACTCTATGGACAAGCAAGCACATTTTTAATAGTTGAGTAATTGGTCCCTTGTATTGTATTATGAAATATTGATTGAATAATTTAAGAAGGTGGCAATGAGTTATACCAAAGTAATATTTTACAGTCATTTGTTTAAATAAAGAACACAGTTTTTGCTAATTAGTAAGAGATCAACTTATTAGAGAAAGTTGAGATTTATACTGTTTATCTATTGTTTTGTTTCCAATACAAATACCTATTTTAAGTTAATAAAGAGGTTATAAAAGATAACAACGTAATTAACTTAGAAACTAGTAGAGAATTGAATTGACGACGCATTACAATAGATTGCTGAAAAACTAGACAAGTCCGTATAATATGACTGACATAAAAGGGTGACCATGTAACCAGAACTTTCTAGGCTTACGGCTGCAACCAAATACGCAAATAACTAAGATTTCACGAACGTTTTAGGCATAGGCGCTGTTATTATGCAAATAACACAATTCAAATACAGAATTTCGCCATAAAGCAGACACTGGCTGACCTCAAATCCGTAACGGTAAGGTTATGTTCGTAAAACAGATATAAAACACATATATACGAATAAATCAGTGGGGTAATTAAGAAAATCACATTTTCAGACTTACCCGGATGCTTCCGTGGTGGTTTTTGTATAAAAACCTCCTTATATGTGGAGAGATTTTCTTTAGCAGCTCTCACGAACAAAATTACAATCTCGATTTTAGTCACTGACTGACAGATGACTGGTTGAACATTTTAAATATGGCGGAATATCATCGAAATTACGTCACCGCGCGGGAAAATTGAAACTGTGATTTTCGTGAAAATATTTATAATAAAAACTGTAAAACATAATCTATACAAAATAGAATTTGCTTACCTCATAAAAAAAAGGAATGTGAAATATCTGATGATATTTGTATGAGAGTCCTTTAACACATCTGAAAGTTCAAATTCACTCCGATTCCGTACGTTGTTGCCAAGTTGCTATTGCGTCAGAAATTGGATATCCTTTCGCGAACATTTCAAAACACACAATCATTACTTTGAAAAAAGGGACGCTTTTGTATCTTTTAAAATTATTTATTGTAAGACACTTTCACTTAAAATATAAAGGTTTAGCACTATAAACTTGCGTAAAGTTAGTTTGATGGAAGAACGGCAACGACGCTTACTAACTCCGGGGACAAAGAACAATTTTGAAAATGGGACAAGTAAAAGAACCTTGTCAACAAATCAATCCAAAATCCGTCTAACAAAAACAAAATAATGTTAAGTTATTAGACAAAAATAATAATTTTCCCAATACAAAATAAAACACTGTCACGAGAAGTACTGAAGCTATAAAATAACTGACTGATTTGATTTGAAGTTGTTTTTGTTTCCTTTTGTTCGCAATGTAAACAAAGAACCGGTGTTGTCATGTGTTAATTTCTGAATTCTACTACGTATACCGACGTGAAATTGGTCACGTAGGTATACGCTTCTATTTTATTTTTAGCTTTTTGCAATTAGGTTTTGATTTTTTATTTCTATAATTTTAAATTATATTGCAAAAATTCAAATTTAAATTCATGTTATCTACTTTTAACCAAGAATCTTTGGAAATTTAGTTTTGCGGTATTTTTCGTTCTCGTAGTCCTTTTCTTGCCGTTTTTCATTGTTGTTCGTTCGAAATAGATCTTTTGAAAATTAATTAAAATCAAATCTATGGTAATAATTGTTGTATTTTTATTTTTAAATTATATATCACTGCAGGGCTGTAGTCAGGGGGGGGGGGGGGATTATAGGGCAAAGCATTACCTTAAAACAGACTGCGAAGGCTCTATCTTAAACACAACTCTAGCTAGGGTCCTGCTCACTGCGTATTTTTAGAGTGGTTAAAATTTCCTAAACTAACAACTCGTATGTACAAAATATACGCTGTTACAACGTTACGAAGATAAGGGTGAATTGCCTATGTTACGTTTCTTAATTACGCTTCGACTCTGCGCTTGTATGAATTAACTATAACTGGATTGTCTGAAAAACGTAGTTTTGGATTTGATATTTTTTGATATTATCATAGCGTTGACTACACAAATTTTTAGTAGTTTACGGCAGTTAATGCAAGCACTCTGTAGGTAGCGTAATAGGAGGCATTGAGCAGCATTACGGAAATTGGGTTTACTAAATAACTATTTATCACAATGAAACAACAAACTTATTAATATAGTTTTATTTACATAATTACCTTGATTAACAATAATAATAAGATACACTTTAGTAACGTAAACATAATGTAATGTATCGTTGAGAATGAGATCTATAAATTATCTCTCATAACTAGCAAACACAAGTAATAGAAAAATCCTTTCATGCTTATAAACATAAATAATTCATTATTTCTTCACACAGTGAAGTCCAAATGACATAATATTTGCAACTGTGATTAATACCCTATTAATTTGTAACCTCGTGTATTACCGGCACTTCACATGGCTCTTTGTGAAGTGGACAAATCTTATCATGCTTTAAAAGGAATGAAAAGAACAGACTGTTATAAGGTTTAGAAATAGCAAACACTAATAGCCAACTTAAGTGCCGGCAGGCGAAAATATTTGTAAAATCACATAACAAAGGCGTTATAGTCGAAGCCTTATCTTAATTAAAAAATTACATAAAATATCACTAAAAGTAACTTACATCAATTAAAAATTATCATGGAAAATTAAACAGTATGAAAAATACAAAGAAACATTTTAAACATGAATATAATCCTAACGTTGTTAAAAAATCTACCAAATTAGAATTGTTCAACAAGAAACTAGCAACACTGCTGTACGGCGCTAAAATTTAAGTTCAGGAACCAATCATTGACTATATCAATAGCACAGCAAAATTTTATTGTATATTTCAAAAATACATATTTCATAAAATTCAAGGCCTCCTTTCTCACTTACGGTCACACTCAAGGGCTGATGTGTAATCTTAAAACTTTATTTTGCTATAAAAAGTAGAGAGACATTACTACAACAAAGTAATGTCTCTCTTTAGTTTTTAAAGCAAAGAAACTGACTGATCAATCTTGAAACATACTAATAATTCATTAACGACTCTTAGGCCCGTATTATAGAAAGATTCTCAGTGATTGATCTAGTCTTGAGCATAGTTAGAAAGGGATGTCGCTATATATAGCACATAGCAACAAGATCAACACTTAGTTGTCATTCTGTAATACGGGCCTTAGTTCAGCCATTAGACTTTATCGTGAAAGTGTACCCATGTTCATTGATAATAAAATATGGAAAATGTCTTTACTGTTGCTCCTTTTTCGGTGATATTGGTTTAAAAAAGCTGTGCAGCGACATTTGTTTGAAACTATCGGGTGACTTTTCCAATTTCACGTACTTCCTCTTCATGGGAGCGACATCCGTTTCCGGTTTCTCAATTACAGCGTTTTCCGATGCGTTCTGATCGAACTTCAGGACGTACTGCTTAAGAGTTTTCGGCGTTTTGGGAGTTCGAGACTGCATGATTTTCAATCGGAATTTCTGCCTTTTCAAACTTATTTTCACTCTCATCTCGTCATTTGTGATGGACAATTCAGTTTTCTTTGACTTCTTCCTTCTTTTAGACAGTTTCTTCTTAGATATATCGCCTTCGAATTTTAGAACCAAATGGGATTCTTTTCTTTTTTTATTAGAAGATGATTTTTTTCTCTTCAATTTTCGCTTCCTGGTTGTTTTGGCCGCTTCCATCGCAAAATCAATGGCCGTTCTCAACTTCGGTGTCGAGCTACTGGATTCCTCATGTTTATGACTATAATTGCACTTGAAATTCCCATCCACCTCGTTCAAATATTGATTCTTGAAACTTTCTATGTCAATTTCCATTCTATCATTATTTTTGACCTTCGGACTGAATTTCAATTGTACATTTTGTTTTTTCTCCGGACTCTTGTAGGTTTCAACAGAGTCAGTTTTCTCATCATTAGCGTTTTCGATTTTGATCAAATCAATGTTGATTTTGTCATTCCTCTCTGAAATTTCCATGCTGGAATCTTTTGCTATTTCTACGGTTTTGGTTTTCTTGGGTGTCTCGAAGTATGAGATGCTTTCATCGCTATTGTGGTCTGCGACAAACTCTGGTGCTAATTGAAATGTACTGTTTGAAGAGTCATCGACATCTAATATAGTGGATTCTTCTTTTTCAGTTATTTCGTTGTTTATTTCAATCGTTGGGGGCTCATCAGTTTTTGGTAATTCTTCGGTGGATTGTTCTGTGGTTTCTTTTGATACCTCTTTGGTTGGTTGTTCGTTGACTTCTTGTGTGTCCTGAAAATAAAGTTAATAATGAATACGACTTATAACGTTAAAGTTTTTAAATATAGATTCAAGGACCACAATCTATATTTAAAAACGTAAAATGGGAAAATAAAGGTATCAAAATTGGAAATAACTACTTGAGCCAGCCACGACATGCTAATGACATTGCTGTATTTTCTGAAACAGCATCACTATAGAAGAAATGTGTTAAAGCTGAAAAAATGCTTGTTCTTGTGAAATTAATGAGTTACAAATATCATAATTACATACCTATATTCATAGATAGCAATATTAGAAAATACATTAGGTATTTGGTTGCCAATCCATCCTAATATTCATGCTTAGACTGTTGTACAGATTTTGATGAAACTTGGTGCAGAGATACGACGAATCCCGGAAAGGACAAAAGATAGTTTTTATTCTGAATTCGTCCTTAATGGGAGTGAAAGTTTGTTCGGGAAACCAATTTAATTTAATTTATTTATTACATTTTTAATCGAGGACTTACAGCATTAACCAAAATCGTCCTGCGATGCAAACAAAATACAAACAAAAAGAAAAAAGAGGCAGAATATAAAATAGGGCTCATACTTAAAAAAAAAAACATACATTAATTAATAAATTACATACAATAACTTAATTTCAGGAGCTCGATGGCGCAAGTGGTTAGCGCGTTCGGCTGCGATCGTTGAAGTTAAGCAACTTTGGCAGTGGTCGGTCATTGGATGGGTGACCAAAAATCTTCTATCTCGAGTTCCTCCGTGCTTCGGAAGGCAAGTTAAGCCGTTGGTCCCGGCTGCATCTGCAGTCGTTAGCACCCGCCAATCCGCACTGGGCCCACGTGGTGGGTCATGGCCCAATCTCCCTATTCCATCCGAAGGGAAAGTCTGTACTCCAGCAGTGGGGACATTAGTAGGCTGATGATGATTACATAATTTGCCATGAGAGAAATAATTGCACATCATGACAGAAATTTGCCATTTTTAAGGCAAATAAAAAACTCTTAGATTAGCTAATTTTCTCACCTCTACAACATTCTGTATTTCACATTCATTCTTAACATCTGTTTCCTTTTTGGGGGAGTTCCATTCCCTCACCGGCTCCTTGGATTTCCTTTTCTCCCTTGTGACATTATTCATTATATCACCCAGAATGTTGCTGTAACAAAAAATAACTCAAATTTATTAAAGATAAATATGTATATTTTACTCACCCATACACAATAGGGTATTTGACAGACAGACAGACAGACAGAATAAAGTGCCAATTGTTAGCATCTGTGTTTAGAATGAATAATGGCAGGGGTTTTTTCTATTTATACAAAAAAAATATTCATAATTTTACTAAAAACCCACGAAAAAGATAGTAATAGTTTTCATATCTATTGTCACGTTACCCAAAACGCTTGGGATTGGCGGAGCCTAAAATGACGTCACACGCAAGTAAATTTCCGGTTAAAGTGACATTACATTCTATCGTTTGACATTTTATTAACAGTCGTGTGACGTCACATACTAGTAAGACGCCATATTGACCATAAAAACGTTTCCGCGGCAACTTGAAAATGGAGTTTTTGATTTGGTTATTTTTACTGAAATACCCAACAGAACGATGAATATCCACTTTTTACGGACTCCATAAACATTAGTCAATAACGTGAGATCGTTTTCTAAAACTTGTAAAATACCCTATTAAAGGGGTTACAAAAACAGATAGTAAACTATGGTTAGTAAGGGTCTTATCGCTGAAAGCGATCTCTTTCAGGCAACCTTTAAGTCAAAGGATAGGAACAGAGATAATGGAGTAATGTGCCAGCGTTATATATAAAACAAAATAAAATAATATACGTTATAATGTTTAATTTAAGCATTAAACTGCTAGAATTATATATATTAAGAAAATTTTCCTACAAAAATGTTTTCTTAGGATAACTCTAATCATGTATTTTTTAAATCACTAAAATCAATTAGCCTAGCCCCAAAGTAAGCACTGTAGGCTTGTGTTATGGGATTCTAGGGTAATGGATAAAATACATATACTATACATATATAAGTATATTTATATAGAAACACATATTAAACATCCATGGCTGGAGTACAAATGCTCGTTTTAATCACACAGGAATCAGCCCACACCGTCGTGTGGGTTCGAGTCCCGTCTGCTGCCTGGTCCGTGTGGATTTTTTCTATCTTCTATCTTTTCTAAGAGGGCAAACGAGGCGCTCGAAAATTACGATTTTTTGCAAAAAATGTAAAAGGGCTCTTAAGCAATAAAAATAGAACTACGATATACTTACTCAAAAATCTTCTGCTTCACACTCAACGGTCTAGGTTTCCCTATCTTCTCTTTCAGCCTCTGCACCAGACTATCTTCTAGAACATTCTCCGTGCCTCTCTCCGCTAACTTCAACTCGAGAAGTTTCACCGGAGACAGTAACATGTTATCGCACGGTTTGGTAGAATCTTGACTATCATTTTTGATCCTACGCTTAGGAGATTTAAGGTTGAGTTCTCTTCGTGATGTGACTGTATCTGGGAATTCCTCTGGAATAAAAAAATGAGATTTCGCAGTTTAACTACAGGGTGTTACAAAAATACAAATAAAGCTTGAAGGGCGTTGAAGTACATCATATAAGGAGTCTTCTCTAATTTTCTTAAAACCTTTGCATGAAGTTTTAACTTTTAATAAAAACAGTTATTTTTAATGATCCTCGAACTAGTGACGTGTCTTAAAATGATCGATATTTTTATTAAACATTAGTTATAAGAGAAAGAAAATGTGCGCGCGCACTGATTTCTCTTGCGTATACCACCACTCAACTCCCTTTCGCCGCGCCCGAACACATTTATCGTAACGCGTAACGCATTCGCCAGCCAAGGCAAGCGCGCGTAAAGAAGTTTCACTTCAATAATTAATATTCATAAATTAAAATGTGCAAAACCAATTCTCATTACAATTAAGTTTATTTGTAAGTAACTGACGTCTACGCTCATACGTTAAAAGATATTTACTTGTAACATTCATGAATTAAAATGCGTAAATTAAATACATTCTCATTCAAATTAAGTTTGTTTTTACTTAAGCATCTATAATTGTTTCCGTGTATGTTATTATTCATTATTTACATCTATACATATAATAAAATGGTAGGAAAGTCAAAACTGTACATTGAATATTTTTTTAAAAGAATGCTTGGGGTGTGATCTACAATCGATACCGAAGCCAAAAATATAGTTTTTAGAATTTTTGTCTGTTTGTCTGTATGTATGTCCGGGGTAAACACAAAAAAGACTGCATGGATTTATATCAAATTTGGCACGAATATTATTAAGAAGTCGGGTCAACATAGGAGGAGCTCAATGGTGCAAGTGGTTAGCGCGTTCGGCTGCGATCGTTGAAGCTAAGCAACTTTCGCAGTGGTCGGTCATTGGATGGGTGACCAAAAATCTTCTATTTCGAGTTCCTCCGTGCTTCGGAAGGCACGTTAAGCCGTTGGTCCCGGCTGCATCTGCAGTCGTTAGCACCCACCAATCCGCACTGGGCCCGCGTGGTGGGTCATGGCCCAATCTCCCTATTCCATCCATAGGGAAGGCCTGTGCCCCAGCAGTGTGGACAGTAATAGGTTGATGATGGGTCAACATATAGGCTACTTATTATCACGAAACTCCACCCCTAAGTGGGTAATACGGGGGTGGGAAGTTTGTATGAAAATCCTTAGTTTTTCAAGTAAAAGACTTGAAATTTAACATGTACGCTCTATAAATGGTGTAGAGTACTAATAATGTATCTTTAGAAATAAACCCCTTTTTGGGGTCAAAAAATATGTGCAAATAACTAACTCCACGCGTATGAAGTCGCCGGTGGCCGCTAGTTTTTATATAAATAAACTAGTTGACCCAGCGAACTTCGTACCGCCCTAAAAAAATAGGGGTTGTCCAGCGGACAAAATTGTGAATCTAAACCATTCTCAGATCCCCTTGAACACACACAAAAAATTTCATCAAAATCGGTCCAGTCGTTTAAGAGAAGTTCAGTGACATACACACTCACAGAAGAATTATATATATAAAGATACAGTTTTCAATATATAAGTATTTTCAGTATATATTTTACATATTTTAAGTATTTTTGTACCTGTTGTCTCAGTTTTGATGTAACCGTTGTCGTGACGTGATGAACTCGGGTCACTGAAATATAAACAGGTGTTATTATATTCATAAATAAACTACTGACGCACTTTAAAATAATTATAATATTATGAATAAAGTTTCCATTTTAAAATAACAATAATAATATGTTTTATGCTAATAAATTTATTTTTAGACTGTGAAGGTCGATGGGACATTGAGAAAGTTCATGTAAATATTTTCGAGGAGCTCGATGGCGCAAGTGGTTAGCGCGTTCGGCTGCGATCGTTGAAGTTAAGCAACTTTCGCAGTGGTCGGTCATTGGATGGGTGACCAAAAATTACTATCTCGAGCTCCTCCGTGCTTCGGAAGGCACGTTAAGCCGTTGGTCCCGGCTGCATTTGCAACCGTTAGCACCCACCAATCCGCACTGGGCCCGCGGGGTGGGTCATGGCCTAAATCTCCCTATTCCATACGGAAGGCCTGTGCCCCAGCAGTGGGGACATTAATAGGCTGATGATGATGATGTAAATATTATTACAAATTCACATATTATTTTCAGAACTGTATTTACGTGCATACAATACAAGCGATTTGTTCCGGATGTGGTTTGTACAAATGAAATTGTTTGTGTTGTATTGTTATTTAATTAAAGCATTTAACAGCTAGATTTATGGATGTAAAAAGAAATTTTATTACAATAAATTCCAATCCGTTCAGGTAGGTATAGATGTGAGTGGAATTTTTTTCTAGTAAAATTTTCCTAAGAAATTGTTTTGATAAATGTATATTTTCAATATTAATATTGAAATTAAGCTTTGGTTACATCACCACACAATTTTTGGTTCATCTTTTATTCAAATCATTTATATCAGCCATTTAGCCAAACCAATTCATCATCATCATCATAATCATCATCAGCCTATTAATGTCCCCACTGCTGGGGCACAGGCCTTCCCTATGGATGGAATAGGGAGATTGGGCCATGACCCACCACGCGGGCCCAGTGCGGATTGGCGGGTGCTAACGACTGCAGATGCAACCGGGACCAACGGCTTAACGTGCCTTCCGAAGCACGGAGGAACTCGAGATAGAAATTTTTGGTCACCCATCCAATGACCGACCACTGCGAAAGTTGCTTAACTACAACGATCGCAGCCGAACGCGCTAACCACCTGCGCCATCGAGCTCCTCTAAATATAATAATTAATTAAAAACAAAAAATAAAACTACATACCTAATGGATTAAAATAAACAAAAATTCACAAATATCACCAAAAATAATTACAAAATTAAATTAATAAAAGCAATTAGCATTTCACATATTTTTATGACATTAGGAACTTTTCTGCAAGCATTGGTGGTTCAGTAACAATGAGAAGGCTCTCTTGCAACGCGGGTAGACCAGGGGGCCATTCGCCTAACGGAAATGCTTTGGAGAACGCTAACGCTTACGATTTCATTTTGTTATTTCTAGCCGCCTTTTCAAGTTTTTTGAAGTGAAACTTCTTTATCGGCGTTGGAAAAAAATTTACCGTCACATTTTTCGGTTACGCGTCACATTTTTCCGTTACGCGCCATCTTTTCTTATATTAATAGTTGATAGCTGAATGATCACACTGTCGCCGGCGAGAACTCTCTCTACTCGTTTGTAGCTGAGTGACAATAGTTATTAAAGATAAGACTCGCTCAGCCAAACTCGCATAGCGATACTCGCTCAGCGATACTCGCCCAGCGATACTCGCTCAGCAATACTAGCTCAGCGATACTCGCTCAGCTATATTCGCTCGGTTAAGCTGGCTTGGCTGTCAAAAGCCGTGCGCGTGCATTTTAACTCAGGACTGCCAATTCGTTTCTAGTTTCTACTCGCTTATCGTTCATCGTCGGAGGTGGAACATGTGCCTTAGATTACTGAGCCGTGTAATCATAACAGTTTCATAGGCAGTAATTTGTATTCATGTCTATGATAATAAAATCCTTTTGTTTAAACTTTATCTAATTTAACTTTATTTAACCAATTTCTGGAAAGTTGCATGTAGATCATTTTTCGAAAAATAAGGCCATAAAGAAGTTTCACTTCTTACGTGTGTACACTAGTACATGCACACATTTTTTTTTTCTTTTGCATTGGTAATAACAATATTTAAAAAAAATGAGCGTGAGGTTTTGAAAACCTTCGGCGGTCAGAAATAACAAAATAAAATCGAAAGCGTGAGCGTTTTCCAAAGCATTTCCGTTAGGCGAATGGCCCCCAGGTTTGACTCCCATCCGGGGAAGGACTTTTGAAGTTAAACTTCTTTTCGGACGGACTGTATGTTATGATAATCTAAAAGTAAGCACTGTAAGGCTTGTGTTATGGGACACTAGGGTAACGGATAGAATACATATACTGTACATATATAAATATCATAACATATGAAACATCCAGGACTGGAGTATGCTCGTATCCAGAACGAACCTAGGCTTATTTTCTCCTATAAATAGAATGCTCTCACAGTACAATTCACTGTCTAAGTCGACCGATATGGACATCTTCGCGGATACACTGAAAAGAATAAAATCTTTATGTTTGGTTGTGCCCACATAGTTTTTTCATTAATTTATTTTTCATAAATTTATTTTCACTAATTTATTTAATTGTTGTTATTGATATTATACTTCTTTAGCCGCGTTATGAAAAAAATATGAGAGTGAAATTTTAAGATGCGCGCGCATCACTGTAACACAAAAGTAACATAATGAAGTTAGCCGCGGGCGCGTTATGAAAAAATGATGAGAGTGAAATTTTAAGATGCGCGCGCATCACTGTAACACAATAGTAACACCATGAAGTTGACCGCGGGCGCGTTATTAATGTTAGTGTCTAATAATGGTGGATTATTAACCACTTAGTGGTTAATAATCCACCATTATTAGACATCTGTTCGAAAGGTACTTTGAACGATCCACGGAACTCCATAAGATGATCGCGTTGTCAAAAACAATGTTGGCACGCTCGTCGCCTCTGATCACTGTTTTCATATTTATAATATTTATCCACATGTTTCTAGTTTCTATATAGACACAACGTGTTTTAGTTACTTACAAGTGCTAATTACATATGGACTAATAACTTAAATTCAGTAGTGATTTTAATTGAATATTTTGAATATTTATTTAATTTTTCAAATTAAAACTGAACTTAATTGACTGTGTTAACTATCATTTTCCAGTCCTTTTATTATTTTATTGTAATTATTAATTATTTGCATGCAATTAAAAAATATTTTTAATGATGCTAAAGAAGTATAACTTCTCACGCGCGTACATAAGTTACACGCATCCATTTTTTAATTGTTTCTAAATTTAATTAAGTTTTAATTTCTAAATTTATTTAATTATTGACAATTTAAAATTTTATTTTTATTCATAATTGTTTTGTATTGAAATTAATGTAATTATCAAAATTTTGTAAGATTTAATTGCTAGTTAAGTGTGAATTGCATGTCGTAATCGCCTATAATTAAAGTTTCACTAATAAAGTGTCGTACTATAAATGTGTAAATAATAAATGTCTAAGTGTAACTTTGTTGGTGATCAAATAAATAAATAAATATTCATCACACAAACATCTGCCCCCACCGGGATTCAAACCCGGGACCTCTCTAGTAGGAGACACCATGAAACTCGGCGTACAAACTACTTGGCCACGGAGGTCGTCGTAATATGTTGATAACTAGCAAACCAGTGAACCAAATGTTCACCAAAACCTGATTTCTCGAAAACCGGAAGTGCTACGTTACTCAAATCCGGTTTGTAGTCTTATCAGACTATTCTTAACTTATAACTTAAATATTCTCTTTATCTATCTCTTACGGTTTGGCCGCTGAAACAGCACCACAGACAGACGGACGGACGGACTTGTCCAATAGATAAGAGATATGTAATATATATGTACAGTATATGTATTCTATCCGTTACCCTAGTATCCGATACCACAAGCCTTCCAATACTTACTTTGAGTCTAGGCTAGTTGGTGTGTGTTAGAAATATTTATTTTATTCGTGTTCTTTTCAAGTATAAATATAAATAAACTCACGTATAAGCGATCCTTTGCTTGGTTCTTCTCAAAGACATTCGTGAAGGCATCACAGGATGCCTGGCTCTTGTGGTAGAAACCGTGGCTTGTTCGCTGGCTATCACTGGGGGACAAAATTATAATACAATATCCTAAAGAAAATTTTACTACAAAAAATCCACGCGGACCATGAAGCAGACGGGACTCGAACCCGCTCCCTCCGCTATCTATGGCAAATAAATATATTGTCAACTAGCGGCCCGCCCTCGCTTCGCCTCGGTGTAGAGCTGAAATGTAGACTACAGTTTTTGTTCTCAGGCTTGTATTATACGCTATGACATTCATCTATGATCCTTCTTATAGCTGCATGCAAAGTCTCAGCTCGATCGGTTTAAATTGACAAAGTTTCATACAAACTTTCATTCCCTATTTTATCCCCTTGGGGGTAGAATTGATCAAAATCCTTTCTTAGCGGATGCCTACGGAATAACATCTACCTGCATGCCAAATTTCTGCCCGATCCGTCCAGTGGTTTGGGCTGTGCGTTGATAGATCACTATGTCAGTCAGTCACCTTTGAGTTTTATATATACAGGGTGAAACAAAAGTCCGAAATAAAACTTTAGGGTTTGGTTGTGTTCCTTGTATAGAATTACCTACGAAAGTTTGACGCCTTTCAGACCACTTTTATTTTCTAATAAAATTAATAAAAATATCGTTTTACACCTGCCTATAACAATCCTATAAATGCGTACGATTACTACTACCTAAACAGACCCCCCTCTCTCCCCCAGGCGCCCCTGCGCCCCGCTCAGATACCTACAATTTTTATTTCGGAATTCTGTAACACCCTGTATAGATTATCTGGATAAGAGACAGAAACAAAAGATACTTTTTACCCCGAGCTCGGGATCAAACCTCCGGGCACTGGTTTTTATTACAAGACTGTATCCATTTGTTTATTAGACAACGGGTCTGATAAAGACACTTTTTATACTAAAAAAATGTTATTTCCTGTCTTCCTAAAATATTAACTGAAGTCTTCCTAAAGTCTTACCTCTCTCTTGTCTCTCTCTTTGTATATATCTATTGCATCTATTATTCATTATTTATTTTACCATACCTGCTACACCCCCCCTTCTTGTTCCTCTTATTTTTTTATTTCACGGTCATGGGTTGCCTGGAAGAGATTGCTGTTTAGCAATAAGGGCGCCTATTGTGTACGTTTTCACTGTCATGTTTAATGTATGTATGTCCTGTGAGGTGTATGTCAATAAAGAATATTATTATTATTATTAACTATAGCACGGACGAAGTCTCTACTAGTATAAGTATATATTCGACGATCTCCGTGGCCGAGTGGTTTGTACGCGGGGTTTCATGGTGTCGCCGACTCGAGAGGTCCCGGGTTCGAATCCCGGTGGGGGCAGATGTTTGTGTGACGAATACAAGCATTTGTACTCCAGTCATGGATGTTCAATATGTATTTCTATATAAATATACTTATATATGTAAAGTAGGGGAAACCATCCAATCATTGCCACTCGTCCTTTTATTGGCACTTTTGAGTTTAATTCGGAAAAACAAGGAGACAATAGAGGAGCTCGATGGCGCAAGTGGTTAGCGCGTTCGGCTGCGATCGTTGAACTTAAGCAACTTTCGCAGTGGTCGGTCATTGGATGGGTGATCAAAAATTACTATCTCGTGCTCCTCCGTGCTTCGGAAGGCACGTTAAGCCGTTGGTCCCGGCTGCATCTGCAGTCGTTAGCACCCACCAATCCGCACTGGGCCCGCGTGGTGGGTCATGGCCCAATCTCCCTATTCCACACATGGGGAAGGCCTGTGCCCCAGCAGTGGGGACATTAATAGGCTGATGATGATGATGATGAATAGTTTATTCAAGGTAGTTACATATTAAAAAGAAAAACCTAGTATGGTTTCGAAATTTGAAAATAGGCAGCATTATTCCTACAATCTATTGTGTCCTGTTTTTTTCGAACTAAACTCAAAAGTGCCAATAATAGGAAGAGTGCCAATGATTGGGTAGTTTCCCCTATATGTATTCTATCCGTTACCCTAGTATCCCATAACACAAGCCTTACAGTGCTTACTTTGGGGCTAGGCTAATTGGTGTGAGTGTTGGAAATATTTATTTCATCATCATCATCATCATCAGCCTATTAATGTCCCCACTGCTGGGGCACAGGCCTTCCCTATGGATGGAATAGGGAGATTGGGCCATGACCCACCACGCAGGCCCAGTCCGGATTGGCGGGTGCTAACGACTGCAGATGCAGCCGGGACCAACGGCTTAACGTGCCTTCCGAAGCACGGAGGAACTAGAGATAGTAAATTTTTGGTCATCCATCCAATGACCGACCACTGCGAAAGATGCTTAACTTCAACGATCGCAGCCGAACGCGCTAACCACTTGCGCCATCGAGCTCCGCTCTTTAGGAAATATTTATTTATTATAATTTTTTATATATACAGTGGTGGTCACATAATTAAAGACACTCCCTAATTGACCACAAAAAACTTATTTATGGTACTAAAATTAGCTAAAATTGGTATTTAATCCAGTGTCATTGTTATTAAACTGTACACGGCGTTGAATTCTTACAATGTGGGACAAAAAATAGTTGTGTTCGTTAGTCACTGCCGGATTCAGGGGAGGGCAACCGGGGCTAATGCCCCACATGGGGCTCCACAAACGGGGGGCCCCCACAATAGAGACTTGGGAAAAAAAAATCTTTCAAATTCCAACTAGTAAACACTAGTAAACATCTTTTCCTTTGATATTTTTTTTTTGCTCTTTTACCTTTATCTACAGCCTACAGTACTTTGTACATCTCACATACATGATTATTTGATTAAATTAATCTTAAATAACAGAAATCATTGATCTATATTTGCTCACTCCAATCAGGCAATCAGTGAAATATCAAAATCTCAAATAGCCCTGTTAAGCACTTCCAATTCACTACCCATCTTGAGGGAGTACCCCAATCGCTTAATGAGTGGGATGGTACTTGCCCGCAGGGCCGAATTTAAGGCAGGGCAGGTGGGGCTGTGGCCCAGGGGCCTCCACAACAGCTTAAGAAATAACAACATTTTGATGGGTTAACAAGAATACAAATCCTAAGTGGCCCGGGGCCTCCACAATCCTAAATCCGGCCCTGTCGTTAGTAGTTTAGACACTGCTCACTATGGGAACATAACACAAACTTTTTTAACGTACTTGTAGCTGGGTAGCTAATTAAAGGCACTCGATTTGTTTAGAAGATATAGAAAAAAATATTGTTATTATTGAAATAGGGTATTAGACAGTGTTAAAAATAAAGTGCCAATTGTTATCATCTGTGTTTAGAATGAATATATGGGTTTTTACTATTTTTACAAAAAAAAAACATTATTTTACTAAAAACCCACGAAAAAGATAATAGTTTTCATATCTATTGTCACGTGACCCAAAACGCTTGGGATTGGCGATGCCTAAAATGACATCACACGCAAGTAAACTTATATTTTTGATTTGGTTGGTTGGTTTTTGATTTGGTTATTTTTACTGAAATACACAACAGAATGATGAATATCCACTTTTTACGGACTCCATAAACATTAGTCAATAACGTGAGATCGTTTTCTAAAACTTGTCAAATACCCTATTCACACCCTAAGAGGTTGGTGTTTTAAAATTATATAAAAGAAAAGAAAAATCTATATATATAAAACTCAAAGGTGACTGACTGACTGACATAGTGATCTATCAACGCACAGCCCAAACCACTGGACGGATCGGGCTGAAATTTGGCATGCAGGTAGATGTTATGACGTAGGCATCTGCTAAGAATGATTTTGATCAATTCTACACAAACTTCAAATTTGTCAATTTTAAACCGATCGGGCTGAGACTCTGCAAGCAGGTATAAGAAGAATTATAGATGAATGTCATTATGTATAATACAAGCCTGAGAACAAAAACTGTAGTCTACACTTCAGCTCTACACCGAAGCGAAGCGAGGGCGGGCCGCTAGTCTTTTCATAAGTCTCTATGGTCTGCACAAACTCACCTTGGTCTATGGTCGCTGCGAGTTTGGCGAGTTCGTCGGGCTCTTTAGGCGCGGCGGATATACAATCCCGACATATATATGTCGATATATCTTCATCTGTACAACCTTCGTGAACGCCAGCACTTCCGCACAGCAGACATAGTTTTATATCCCATAACCTGGTTTTAATATAATGTTAGTAAAAATCTATTATGTTGAAAAATTAACATAGTAACATTAACAAGATATAGTAAATATTTTTCAATAAAAATAAAACCTACTTAAAAATAAACTGAAAATAAAAAAATAGGTTTACATACTTTACCCTTAGCACCTGGGTTCCGAACCTGGGGGTAATTACCCCTCCGGGGGTAAATCAGTCATACTTGGGGGGTAATAAAGAACCTAATTATTTGATCAAATCTAAACAATAAGAAAATACTATATAATAATACTACTAAATAGAGCATGCGCTCCTTCTTGCTAGCGAGCCCGCGGGGTGCTGAGTGTGGGAAGCGGGGCGAGATTTCCTCCTGATGATGACATTATTAGAGACCAAGATGTAACGGCCAAATTGGAATTTCTTGGATTGATGATAACGTTTTAAAGTCGGGGTAAAATCTGTTTTCCTAATAGGTTACAGGGGTAGCAGTATTGGAAAGGTTAGGAAACACTGCCCTAGCACGAACCAATATCGATTTCGAATAGTTTGCAAAAGAATTCAAAAGAGTTGTACTATACCTCCAATTTGAAGAAAGATATATTGATTTCTGATTTGATATTTACCCGGTTTCAGCGCAATGCTTCCTTCCCATTGGACAGAGGCAATCTTCCACGTTGCATGTTAAAGGCCGTTCGTAGATTTCAGCGAAAGCATTCTGTTCCAACTCCCAAGCAGCATCCCTAAATATTAATACATCACATAAAATAATCTATATATATATAAAACTCAAAGGTGACTGACTGACTGACATAGTGATCTATCAACGCACAGCCCAAACCACTGGACGGATCGGGCTGAAATTTGGCATGCAGGTAGATGTTATGACGTAGGCATCCGCTAAGAAAGGATTTTGATCAATTCTACCCCGAAGCGAAGCGAGGGCGGGCCACTAGTAATATTATAAAGATGTTTTTGAGAGGCTCGATGGCGCGCGTTCGGCTGCGGTCGTTAAAGTTAAGCAACTTTCACAGTGGTCGGTCATTGGATGGGTGACCAAAAATCTTCTATCTCGAGTTCCTCCGTGCTTCGGAAGGCACGTAAAGCCGTTAGTCCCGGCTGCATCTGCAGTCGTTGGCACCCACCAATCCGCACTGGGCCCGCGTGGTGGGTCATGGCCCAATCTCCCTATTCCATCCATAGGCAAGGCCTGTGCCCTAGCAGTGGAGACATCAATAGGCTGATGATGATGATATAGACGTTTAAATCTAAAGAAAATTTTACTAGAAAAAATCCACGTGGACCAGACGGGACTCGAACCCGCACCCTTCGCTATCCGGGCGAATGCACTGACCATTATGCTACCGCGGCCCTAATTGTTCGTCTCGAATAAATAAATATTTCTAACACTCACACCAATGGGGATATTTGACATTATGAAAAATAATGTACCAATAGGGTATTTTGACAGTATTAAAAATAAAGTGCCAATTGTTAGCATCTGTGTTTAGAATGAATATTGGCAGAGGTATTTACTATTTTTACACAAAAATTATTCATAATTTTACTAAAAACCCACAAATAAATTATCTTATTTGTTTCCTTATCTATTGTCACGTGACCCAAAACGCTTGGGTTTGGCGGAGCCTAAAATGACGTCACACGCAAGTAAACTTCCGGTTAAAGTGACATTACAATGTATCGTTTGACGTTTTAATAACAGTCGTGTGACGTCACACACTAGTAAGACGCCATATTGTCCAAAAAAACGTTTTCGCGGCAACTTGAAAACGGGGTTTTTGATTTGGTTATTTTTACAGAAATACACAACAAAATGATGAATATCCACTTTTTACGGACTCCATAAACATTAGTCAATAACGTGAGATCGTTCTCTAAAACTTGTCAAGTACCCTATTGTTGGAATCTGTATTTAATTTAGATGAGCATCTTTATAAGCAGCGTTTTTACTATTCTGAAAGAACGAATTTAGTAACTTTTCTATAATATAGAAATGTTTTTATTTTGCTCCATGATCACGTGACCGAAAATTTCTGGGATTTGCCAAGACTAAAATCATATAACTACACTCACCTATCAGGAACATAGTATCCTTGTTCAACGACTGCTTGATAGAAATTATTTTTATCGTTGCACAAAGGACATTTCAAGTAATGCATGCCTGCACTCAATGCCATTCGCTGAAACAATGATAAAAATATATTTGAAATCCATGAATACTATCTTCTATATAATTTAACATAAGAAGGCGATAGAAAGCCTCTCTTGATTTAGTTTCGCTGGTTCTTCTCAGAAAGGTCTCCCAATTTTGGAACCGGTGGTAGTTTATGGTCTTTAGGGTCAAATAAATGAACTCAAAATTACAAAAAAGAATTTTTAAATAAAGTACTTTATTAACTAATAAATTCATACATAGATACTAAAATTTTAAAAATATAACAATGAAATAACTGAACGCTCAATTAAAGTCTTTCGAAGGTAGCTCGACAAAATTAAATAAAAAATCATTATTCTGACGAAGCAGACCTGAAAAGGCTGCGAAACGTCAATAAATAAATAATGTTCGTGCATTAACCGTTAAAACTAGTTTCATTGAATACTATCATTACAAAATCTATGGAAAGGTTCCATATGTTTCCATAAGTTTGGCTGAAGATGTCATTTAATATTTAATGTAACATTAGCCTTAGTGTAAACAGTCATAATTTATATAGGAGGAGCCCGATGGCGCAGGTGGTTAGCGCGTTCGGCTGCGATCGTTGAAGTTAAGCAACTTTCGCAGTGGTCGCTCATTGGATGGGTGACCAAAAGTTTACTATCTCGAGCTCCTCCGTGCTTCGGAAGGCACGTTAAGCCGTTGGTCCCGGCTGCATCTGTAGTCGTTAGCACCCACCAATCCGCACTGGGCCCGCGTGGTGGGTCATGGCCCAATCTCCCTATTCCATCCATAGGGAAGGCTTGTGCCCCAGGAGTGGGGACATTAATAGGCTGATGATGATGATGATGAAACAGTCTTATAAGCATATTACCATGTAATTATTACTATTATTAATAAACCTTTGTACATTCAATTCTACCCAATCTTCTAACTTGGAGGTGTCGTCAAAAAATTATTTAGTTAAATGATGAAAGTTGTATAAAAATTATCACATAATTTTAATGGTTGAAAATATCAGTTTAAATTTTTATTCCAAAAAAATATCTGAATATTTTTAACAAGTTTATTTATTGTCAATATTTTTATAAGTTCGGTTACGCAGTAACTGTTAAGTTTATTGTGGTTTGGTCTGTGATTGAAATTATTCATTACGATAATTTTATCACTTGGTTTTATTTATCTACTTATACAATTTAATATTACTCTTGCGTTAAAATCAACATGAATTGAATGAATATTTTCATTTCATATGGTTGAAATCATATATGCGTTAGTTTAATTTAACGGTTGATAAATATATCCAATTATACCTCAAGAATTGTCATGCATTTACGTGTAGAAAAATACGTCGAATTCATTTAAAATATAATGTATTTTATATGTGGTACCCACATAAAAATGTCGTTTATACAGCATAAATCAACTTACTTAGGCGAACTATTGGAATACTTACAAAAAACAAAGACGAAATTGGTAAAGTCTAACTCAAGATGAAAACATAAGCAACAAATTCATAAACTCACTTGTATGCATGATCTGTGAAACCATGCGTCTCGGGCACAGCACGGAGGCCAGAAAGTTTGCAGAGTTGGAAATGGATCAACATCTTCGTAGCAGATGACACACACATATTCAGCTTTGATAGAATCTAAAATACACATAGTAAGTAATGAATATTTCTAACGCTCGCACAAATTAAATTAAATACAATTTAAATTGCAACTTGGGTCTATGTAACCTTAAATTAATTAATTTGATGATATTGATACACAGTTATAAGTTATATAAGTTATTTACGGGATTGTTACCATGTACCTTGTTTTTAGCGAGTTTCCGAATTAATTAATTTGATGATATTGATACGTTATAAGTAATATAAGTTATTTACGGAATTGTTACCATGTACCTTGTTTTAATAGCGAGTTTCCGAACGCAATACAAGACTTAGTCTGAGGGTAGACCGATATGTCTGCCAATAACAGCCTACCCGCAATTACTTCAGTTACTCCGTGATCATGGCGCTTGCAACAGTGCCGAAATATCGGAAACTCGCTAAAAACAAGGTACATGGTAAATAACTTATATTACTATAATGTTAGACCTATGCCAGACGAATGTAATCCAGCGTACCAACCAAGGTAACCTTGCCTGTTGCCATCCATCTAGACCAGGGGTTCCCAACGTTTTCTTGGTCAGGGACCACTTTGACATAGTTTTTTTCGGCAGGGACCACTATTTAGTTATTAATTAACTAAATTTTAGTGTAGTAAAATAAACTGTAATAATCAAACTGAAACTTTAATTCAAACTCTAATATGAATTACATAAAAAGAAATAATAACATTTTAGGATAAACTTTCGTAATTTTAAATTAATGCGATTTCTGAGCTTGCATCTTCTTCACGAGTTCGGCTATCCTAGGACTGATATTGTTACTCAGAGCCACACGTAAATCATCACTTACTTTCAAACGATTTCTCGCCTTGTTTTTTAATACCAGCAAAGCAGAAAATCCTTGTTCACATAAATAAGTGGTTGAGAAAACGATAAAATAGCGTAAGGCGATTTCTCGAAGTTTAGTATAAGAAAGTGCTTTTTTACACCAAAATGACTCAAGTGAATTCGATTCAAAAGCATCCTTGCAGTTTCTGTCATTTTGTAATTCAATGAGCTCTTCTTGGATTTCTTCTGTAACTTCACTAGCGTCCGTGCTAAAAGGGTTACGAATCATTTTTTGATCAAGATTAGCTTCTTCGTTATATTCTGGGAAGTAACGATTGAATTCATCAATCAACATATGTAAATGAGTCTTAATGTTTTCTTGAATATTTGCTGTAAAAGCGTCATACTTTTTGTCTTCCACAAGTGATTGTAATGTCGCAAACGCAGAATAATTATTTTCTTCAATTTTACGTAACCACAATTGAAGTTTGCAGATAAAAGCACGAAGTTTATCTTCAAAAATGAATATATTTGCGACATTCTCTAAGTTTTTATTTCCAGAACCTTGCAGTTGTATATTTAATTTATTTAAATGTGTGAAAATATCCACAAGATACGCCAAGTCCATCTGACATGCCAGATTAGTAAATTGTTTCAACAAATCATTATTTTTTTTGTCACCCAGAAAAATCTCAACCTCTGCTCTCAGTTCATATAATCTTCCCAGCATATTACCTTTCGATAGCCATCGAACTTCGGTATGAAAGAGAAGTGTCTCGTGATCAGAGTCCATTTCAGTGCATAACTTTTTGAAAAGTCGTGTATTTAAGGCGCTGCTTTTAATAAGATTTACAATTTTTATGGCCATTTTTAGTGTATCATTGAGGCATCCAGGAAGAGTTTTTGAAGCCAACGCCTGGCGATGTATGATACAGTGCGTTGTAATTACATTAGGATTTTTCTGTTTTACTAATGTCGCCAGCCCGGAACGTGATCCCAACATTGCTGGAGCACCATCGGTACAGAGGGCAGCGAGTTTATCCCACATAAGATTATGTTTCTCGAAAAATTCGGATATTGAGTTCATGACGTCGATACCTTTTGATGTTGTGTCCAGTTCCCGTGAAATCAATAACTCTTCTTTAATTATGTTGTCGTCGTCTAAAAAGCGAACAAATACAAGTAGTTGACAACAATTTGAAATGTCGGTCGACTCATCACACTGCAAAGCGAAAAATGGCGATTTTTTTATTCTTGACACAAGTTGCTCCTCTATATCACTTGACATAAGCTCAATTCGAGCTTTGACCGTGTTATTGGACAGAGGTATGTCTTGTATTTTTTTCTTGGCCTCTAATCCTAAAACTTCTTCGACGGCTTTGATCAAACAAGGTTTTACGAGTGTTTCTCCAACTGTGTGTGGCTTTTTAGATTGTGCTATTAATTTAGAAATCTCAAACGACGCTACTAATAACTTTTCCGATGTTGCAAATCTCGAGCCGCTAGGCCCGAGTTTCATTTTTTTTAGGACCTCTAATTTTCCTTGAAAGAATTCAAGCGGGCGGTTAGATAAATCTGGATGTACCGTTTCTAAGTGGCGTTTCAATTTTGCTGGTTTCAACGCTTCATTTGCGAGAACGGTTGCGCATATAACGCACTGTGGTTTTATTTCCCCGTTACTTTCTATCGAGGTAAATCCAAATTTTATATAATTATTGTCATATTTTCTCTTAGGCGCCATGTTCTGAAAATAAGATACAAAAAAATGAAACCGAATACAAACCGAAAAAACAAAAGCGTAAGATCAAGTTCTATAATATGATCGTGCTAAGCTAGCTTACATAAAAATATTTTTGAAATAATAGCAAAGGTAGTTTTAGTTTACATTACAAAGAAATTTAGTGACCAGCAAAAGGATTCGAATACCGCGAGCCCGCGATGAATCACCAAAAATTCAAAAATTTAATTTAGTTTACGCTTCTTTGCAAAAATGAATAAATAAAAATATACTACTTTGCCATACGTACGATTCAGCAAAATGAAATAAACAAATATACATAATACATATACGTATTGATAACGTCGTTTACTTGATAACGACCCGAAAATCATCATTTTTAATACCCTGAGAAAGGTTAATCGAAATAAAATATTCACTCACCTGTATTTACGAACTATTTCAAGATATCAATTTAAGAACAACGATCAGTAATAGGTAACTAATAAATGAATGATTAACTTCCTCACACAGTTAAGTAATATTACGTGTTATTACTGACACTGAAATAGGTAAAACAAATGACGTTGTATCGTCTTCGCAGAGACGCGCGGAGGCGGCCGGCCCCGCGTACCGCGCCCCCTCCACCCGCACTCTAACGCGCTGGGCCACGTTCACAACCTAAGTGTAGTTGTTTGGTTGTTTTTTAACTCGCTCAAAGGCTCGGAACGAGGTCGGTTGTTTAACGTCAAATTGGAACATAAAAAACTTTGGAGTCAAGTCAACTGTCATCGACTGACACAAGATACTTCGAAAATATATGGAATATGACAACCGAGCCTTGAGGCTCTGAACGACCTAGAGTGCTGCGTGCACGGCGCGGCGACCGACGGCTCACCGAATTTAGCGGGCGCGCCCGCTAAAGAATTCATTCGCGGACCATATTTTGGCTTCTGCGGACCACTGGTGGTCCACGGACCACTGGTTGGGAACCATTGATCTAGACGAAGGATGTAATCCAAAATTTGATTTGATTTTACCTTGAAAGGCAAATCTAATACCCGCCATACACACTACGAGAAATCGTTACGATCAGACTGTACAGTTCGAACGGTACAGTTTATACGATTTCGTTTAGTATAGGAAACTGTGCAGTTTTATAATACCCGCCATACACACTACGAGAAATCGTTACGATCAGACTGTACAGTTCGAACGGTACAGTTTATACGATTTCGTTTAGTATAGGAAACTGTGCAGTTTTATAATACCCGCCATACACACTACGAGAAATCGTTACGATCAGACTGTACAGTTCGAACGGTACAGTTTATACGATTTCGTTTAGTATAGGAAACTGTGCAGTTTTATAATACCCGCCATACACACTACGAGAAATCGTTACGATCAGACTGTACAGTTCGAACGGTACAGTTTATACGATTTCGTTTAATATAGGAAACTGTGCAGTTTTATAACATACACGCTACGATTTATCGGTACCGTTCGGACTGTACAGTCTAATCGTAACGATTTATCGTAGTGTGTACGGCGGGTATAAAGGACGTTTCCTTGGATTACGGGCGCGTAATTACATCCGCGGTTGGAGAGCATAGATTACAACCGTTTAGCCGGCGGATTACATCCAACCAAAGACAGTTGCGCTGTGGCAGTCAGCGGGTGCGGACGTATGCATGTAAAAAATGTCGTCCGAAGACCAGAGTCGCGAACGCGATATTACTAGCGAACTAATTGATCTCTATAGAGATGTCCCATGCTTATGGGACATTACGTCGGAATCTTAAAAAGATGCTCGTCAAAAAAATGCGTGGGAGATTATTACTCGAAAAGTATAGGGAGTTGTACATAAGTTTGAATGGCGGAGAATCATTTGTTGTTGTAACCAACGCTTCATCCACATTCTCCTTTTTGTTGTTTTTCGTTGTCTATTGCACACAAAAATGTTAAGTCAAAGCCCACATTTTGAAATTCAGACAAAGGACAATGTTAAAATTGGCCTAAGAACCAACACCAATTTGGCATTTATGATAATTCTTAGTATATTTTTTGCGATAATTATCAGTATTTAGATTGTGACGGACACTTCCAGTTAAGTAAGCTACATTAAAAAGTTAAAAAATAATCTGAGACAATAAATACCATTTTATGTGTATAATCTATGGCAGCGCTGCAAACAAAACACTCTTTCTTCCTAATGCCGGCACTTCACTTGGCTATTCGTATTTGCTATTTTAAAACATGACATCAGTCTGTCCTTTTCATTCCTTATTAAGAATGACAAGAACAAACTGTTGTCAAGTGAAGGGCCGGCATAAAACTCGTTACTCTGTGGTTGTGGTGCATGCAGTTTGCATTCGTAGTAATCTGTGGCATTCGTACATTCCAAAGAGTAGTTTATTATACCGGAAAGTGCATTCTCGTTTCGGATTACCTGTTGTGTGTTTATTTGCGATTGTTTTTCTTTAAATTTAACTATTTTGGCTATCTAATATGCCATCAATGTTACCCCCCAATGTTAGAAGAGCCCCTATAACCAAGTGCTAGTGAACCTGTGCCACAACATCCTGAGAGGATCATACTGCTTAATTATTCTAGAACACAACACCCGATACACATTCACGCTGCATATTTACACAATATACATGTGATATACAAATAAATACAATATTCAAATATGATACAACTATGTGAAAAATAGTCAACAAAGAAGAAGCAAAACTACAGTTTTTATTTTATTCATGGTTCCTACCTAACCAAGTTTTTCCTAATAGTTCTTCTTTAAAATCGCACCAAATAAAATGAATTAGTTGTAATATTAATTCACTTCATACTGAGTTTATACTAAATTCATAGGTTGACCTATGTTTCATTGAATATTAAACATAACCTCAAAAAATTTTAAGTTTTCCTAATAATTTAAGTTCTCAGAAGTGTCCGTCAATAATCTTTGTTTTTACAGTCATTTACTTACGATTTTGAACCTAGAAAATAATATTTCATGATTGTTGGTTCTTAGGCTAACTATGCATGGACACTGAACAATGTCCTTTGGAGCCATTTCTACAACACGGTTACTAATACAGTCCGCGCATGATACAAGTGCATACGTGTTTTCACGCCATAAGTCGGCTCGCGATTGCGTGTTGGCGCGTGGATTACATCCGTGTAGCCGAACATCTTAACGCGGATAGAAACCAACTTCCCACCAAGGTTACCTTGGTTAATATGCTGGATTACATCCGTCAGGAATAAGTCTTAGTGAACATGAAAGTTTAAAACAATATATAGTTATAAGTTTTAAGTAAGTATAAAGAAAAGTTTACTAGAAAAAAAATCCAGGCGGACCAGGCAGCGGACGGGACTCGAACCCGCATCCTTCGCTATCCGGGCGAATGCACTGACCATTATGCTACCACGGCCCTTTTAGCCGCGTCGAAATTTTCCTAGCCTTAAGCTGCAAGGCAGCGCCATCTCTTCGCATTGTAGGTAACCCACAATGTCCCGTCCGCTGCCTGGTCCGCGTGGATTTTTTTCTAGTAAACTTTTCTTTAGATTTAAACATCTAGCAGTTAAATGCTTAAAAAATAAATAAAATCATAAGTTTTAAGTATTTTATGATACTTGGGTAACCATACTACGATAAGAGACTGTATTATTGTAGAAATACGAGTATATGTTACAGTCAAAACTTAGGTACAAATGCTTGCCTCACCGTTATGGTCGAATCCCCTATCCCAATCCCACTCCCATCCACAGGGAAGGCCTGTGTCCCACTACTGGGGGCATTAATAGGCTGATAATAATACCTAAAACAAAGAGTCATAATCTCACCTGGAAAGTCATTCACTTTTTCTGTCTCAATCTTTTGGTTTATCGTATTTTTCAGTGCCTTCCGTTTCTCCAGCATTCTTACTTTAGCCTTGCTCATAATAACATCAGGAATTCTCTGTTTCGGCGCATGCAATTGACAAAATGACCTGTGAAAACAAATAACACTGTTAATAAATAACATTTTAGCTCCCACTATCAGAAACGATAGCAAATGGCTTGGAGACACTGAGTTGTCAGTGAAAGGACATGGCTAAGAAACTGCCCTTAATGTGTATAAATATTTTGCACTAGCCCGTAACTTTACAATATTTTTTTATTAATTATTACGTGTTTATTATTCTCGTACTACTTTCGTGAAATAATCAAATATTTAAAAGTATAGAAATTGACTTCCATATGTTTCAAAAGCAAAATGTTCCGTTTTACAAAATAAATGAACAATAAATGTATACAAAAAATATCTGTGTAAGCATATCGAAATAAATAAATTTATTTATAAACTCCTTCAAAATATGACATATTTGGCCCTAAATTTTGTTACAACAAATCACGGAAGGCCTAAAATAATAGATTTTGTTATTCTGATTAAGCTTGAGACAAGGCAGCATAATAATTAATCCTTTAATTTTTGCGAATGGACATAATAAAACTTCACAGATTTCCAGTCAGGCCGACGATAACAAATTATTTGTATTTATTTTTGCTTGCGAAATTGATGACTCTGTAAATAATTGGCAACATCTTTTAAGTATCAACTGTAGTGAGGTAATGACATAGTAGGAGTTCTCATAATTTTCAAGATTGTGACTTTATCAAAAGTTCCTGAGCCTTTTTTCATAGAAATTATAAATATTCAGCCGTTTACCATTCAATAGTACTAAGTACAGTATTAATACATTGCCAGGGCAGTCGCTCATACAAAACTTTACCATGTCCTTTCCGGTTTAGGATTGGTGAGTATTTGCTGAAATTCTCCTTGAATCAAACGAAAAAGATTCGCCAGTAGAGATCGCTTTAAGCGATAAGGCCGCCCAATGCATCACTTGTACTAGATGGTTTTGTGCTTAATGTTCAATGTTATTGGTGGTGTACAATAAAGAATTTTTGTATTGTATTGAAAAACAGAAAATCTGACTGTAGGTAAAAATTTTGTGTGAGAATCCCAAGTATCTCTTTCCAAATCATGGTTGTACGTATAATTATAATTTATGTTAAATACGTTATTCGGATTCCATATTGCAAGCATTGCATTAAGCAAATTTGGCCATTGTCTGGAATTTATAATACATATGTTGCTTTAAACTTTCATGGTCACTAACATTATAGCTTGCAACAGTGCCGAAATATCGGAGACTCATAAAAAACAAGGTACATGGTAACTACCCTGGCTGGATTTAACTACTTTAGCACAGTGGTCTGATTGATAGGTCATGTTATTATTTTCAGTTAATGTTACTTTATATATTTTACTGTATTAATAGAAAATCTTAAGCGCAACAATATGTATTTTATTCTAATTAGTGGATAATGAAGTTGGTCGTACAATAATTTAAGGTGTCACCTGTATTACAATACTATTTGTTTAATGAGCATTGTACCACTATTTTAAATGTATTTTAATTACTTTTATTGCTTGTACATAATGATAAAAGTAATTACTTGATATAAATTTATTGTTCTGCATGATTTATTAAGTTAGTGAACAGGCTTGCAAATTAATTTTACTGTAATATTTTGTTACGTGAAACACCATTGCCAATTGATAGCTACTGTAAAGCAATAAAATAAACTATTACGTAAAACAATTTCCACCAATGTCGTTTGATATTTGTTTAAGGTAAAACTTCAGCAAGTGGCGTTAAATTTTCTTATTCCATGTGACCTTCATGATTTATTTCATGTGGAGAAATGTAATGATAATATTCTAACAACCCACTTATAGTTTCCGTAGAACAGGGAGACAGCATTCTTTTCTCGTCCACAAGGCAGGTGGAACTGCTTCCTGCACTGACTGATGCTACAACCCAGTGTGGCCCCATCCTTACTGCAATACGAGCATCTCTATAAAAGAAAAATATAAAAATAAGTTGATGTTACAGTGAAAAATAAACTTTACAGTCAACAATATTAAATACTCTAGATACAACCTTTTTGTATTTTTATTTGTGTAATTAATCTGTGTTTAATTAAGTCTATATTAAGGATATTTATTGGTTTGTAAACTTTATGGATTTTTGCACTGTTCCAGTCATAAATAAAAATTAAATGAATTGTTTTTTTAAGTTTATTTAATGGGCTTTCAAATGACACCAATATTGGTGAGGGTAAATGCATGTGTTAAGGGTTTTATTATTGCTTCAAAGTTATTTCGCAGAGGTGAGATTTTTTTTAGGACCGAGTGTAGCATGCATACTTCATTATCTATGATTGTTGCTCAAAAAGTTTTCTAGGTGCATACAAATATAATAAGGCTTAAGAAAAATATAATAGTCAACTAATAATAATCTTTAGTTTATAGACTAATTTGTTGTTGTTTTAGGTATCTCCTTCAAAACCTAAGAAAACTAACCAATTCCTCAACTATTGAAAGATCAATAGGTAAAACTGTACTTCCAGGGCCCAAGTAGTGATAATTGATTTTTTTTTAGTAAAGGTCTCATTTAAAAGCTTTTTTCTGGCATTATGGTCACAACACTAGCCTAATCCAAGTGTGAAGTTTAACTGCTAGGGCCCTGGAAGTACAGTTTAGCCCAAAACTCTTTTACAATACAATAGATAAAATATGTCTCGCTGCTCAGTAATTTTTTTGTTGTATAACTAGAAAAATTAAGCATAAAAAAGTACATATTATTGGAGATTATGAACAAATCAAAGGCAATGAATAGGCATCATACTCAAAATAGAAACAAATGGAAGTTTGTAAAAGCACAACTAAACCAAATACTTACATGCTTCTTACTTCTTTCCACTTCAGCTAAGATGTCTGGGTAAAGAAATCCAAAAAGACCATCTTCATCTTTGCCTTTTTGCACCAAACAACATGATAATAACTGAAAAACAATGAATTTTTAATCATAGATTCAGAGTTAAGTCAGTGTTAATATAGCATACTTTCATATACTTACAACACAAAAATAATGGCATTGTATGTCCCCAATGGCATACAGCTTTCCGAACGTAGTTTCATCATCAATTTCACGTTTGCAAAATGCACACGGTGCCTTGTTTTCAGTCACCAACTTAGCTAGAAATCTATTTCGATCTTTACCAACTTTTCTTGCCATTTTTCTCTATAAAATCTACACGAATATCACACGTGCCACTTTAACTGAATATCCACATAAAGAACTTGAAAACAGACATATTAAGTTAAGGTTTTCAATAAAAAATGTGTTATTTTCCAAAAAGAAGATGCCAATGTTCAACCCTACAACAACTTTCTTTAGAATCTAGAATGTCAAAATAAAAAAATGGCGGGAAGGATTTTTTTCAAGACTTTTTAGTGAAGGCAAAGAGAACAATGCCCATACAGCATAGTCTTAAATTATGAATCTTCTTTTTTTTATTACATTGGTGTCGATTCTGACATGATTCTCTAAATCTATACTTAAATTTGACAGCAGTGTATCCTTGTCTTTAGAGAAACTGATGTTAAATTTAGTTTTAAGTTTAGAGAATCACGCCATAATCGACACCAATGTTGGTGTTACGAATTATGATATTTCTTGGATGTTTGGCACGAAATGTATAGAATTAGCCTTTTAGATAAGCTTCTATGAGGTAGTCAACACTATAATAAAGTACTCACGTCCACTTGACCGGAATAGCGTATATTTTAAAGATTCTACTAATTCTTCAGTTGCGCATACTGTTGTAACATAAAATCACACCAAGTTTATTTCACAATATCCAGTATGAAAGAATTCAAAAATAATTAAAATATAACGCCAAACGCACTCGATGAAATCTCGCCAAAAAACTCATTTTTTTAGTTCTCCCCCTTTCTGAGAAGGCAAAGGAAACAATGTCCATACAGCCTCGTCTTTAGTTTTATGATTTAATAAAAATTCAAAATTCATTTTAATAATAATTTTATTGTTTGACATATTTGAGATATTGTTTTATGTACATTGCTTTGTATTAGTTCTTTTTAATACCAAAATAGACACAGATTAATTCTAATTATGAAAAACCTTAGAATGGAGTTTAAAAGTAATCGGTTTAGTAATTGAATAATCATATACTTCAATCTAAGTGCAATTGAATGATGGTTACCATTTTCATAGAGAGCTCTTATGTGACCTACCCTTAAGCTCTGTACATATTTGGCGCGCCAGAAGGACATCGGTTTCATAGATTTAGATAGTTTTCCAATTACAGAGCATAATGCGACTCAGTGGCGCATAATGCCGAATAATGCTGATGCTTAATTGGAACGTGAATTAGTTTTCAAATGTACTAGCAGAGTGCGCTAAGTTCAGTGTTGAAAAAAAAAGGCAATGTTTGTACCTTCATCCATACTTATGTATATTTTTCTAACACACTACAGTGAAACGAGAGCTTTAAAAATTTTTCAACAATAAATAATAATATTAATGAACTTACTTAAATAAAACATTTCGATCAATGCCAACTTAAAGAAAAAACACTTGTTAATTCTGATACTGAGTTGGTACGATTGCACGCATCACACGAAAACATTACTTTTGAGAGTACTCGATTGTGCGAAGCGTTGCTGTAGTTGAAACATTCAACGTTAAGCATTATGCCGCATATTGCGGTCTAGTACTGTAATTAGAAAACTACCTTAGAATTACAATTTTTAATATGGTTAAAAACATATTTACGTGTTGTGTCGTGTCGACTCTCTAACCTCTCTCTCTCTCTCTCTAACTCATAATAAATGTATGAAACCAGAACGCCACGCTACGTTAATATGTGCAAGGCTTTATGTATCCGAATATATTGTCTATGGATCATAAGTATTTTTTTGAATATGAATTATGAGCAATTAGCGGGCAACAGAGCAACACTAAATTAGAAACGTCAAAAAAACGCGAAAAAAAGCCGCATCGGCGATATTTGTTTTAATTTATTTTTATTGTTATTTGTTTTTAATTAGTAATTATAAACAATAGTTGAGTGCTACAACCATAGTTCAAATCTAGTCCTGTATTGTAATTTGTTTGCAGTCTGTAGCGGTGACTTTGTGCCATAAAATATGTAATTGACGACCCTTTGTTTGGTAGAATTGTATTTCCTTGAGTTTTCGCTTGTTATCGAGTACGAGTAATACACCAAAACGGTTTGTGGCGACCGACCTTCGCGTTCTAAGCTCAATACCGTGCATATATTTATTGAATTAGCAAGTGTTTAGCTGGATATTGTTGGAAAAGAATCTTTGTTGAAGATGGCAGGGCTAGTCAGAAACTTCGATGTAAACCGCCAGATTTTACTCAGTGTAGGCACACTGGAGGTCCAATAAGACTCCTATTAGAAAATGTCCGCAATCCAAGGTAATCAGACAGTGTGGCCGGTCAATGATGGATTGAATACAAAGCATGAAAAATGTCTCAACATCACTGAAGAGATTTATAAAAGAATAAACATTACATTTCAAATTAAAAAACTTGAAACTGCCACTCAAAGTGATGTTACCGACCAAAGGTATGTTATTTAATAATATGGACATTAATATATTGTTATTAAATGAGGTAATTGTGTAAATAAGATTAATAAGATATTTATTATTTTAATGATCTGATATTTAATGTTCTACATCAGTCTCTGTAGCAGGCGCACCACAGTTTCTATTATATCACATTTTTATCACTCCTAACTGTCAAACTCCACAGTATTTTGACAATTGAGTGTGATAAAAATAAGCTACAGTAAATCCATTTATTTTAACTCCTCTAATACTAATATTGACCAACCGATTTTATGACGTAATTACACACATTACGAAGTTTGGTGCTCATATAAAATTATTTGTAAAAAAGTTGGATATAATGACTTCCCTTACAGTGACATGTTGCTTGTTATGACCCATTTTTAATAAATTATGTCTGGTTATTATGAATGAATGAATGAATGAATGAATGAATGAATGATCACTTTATTGTACACCATGATTTTTTAAATTACAATTAATTAAAACTATTACATAATAGTACAAACGGCGGCCTTATCGCTTAGAAGCAATTTCTTCCAGGCAACCGTATGTTAACTGGACTGTTACATAAAGAGTGGGAAGTAGATGGTGTCATTCAAAGTGCAACTACCATTAATAACACTTATAAATAATTATGTACAACAAAAAATAAAATAAAATACAAATACATAAACATAATACATCTATTTATAAAGACACTAACACTTCAATCATATTTTGGATGATGTGACGACCTGCTAAAATGTCAAGTAATGTTCTTTTAACATTCTTTTAAAACAAGCTAATGTTTTAGCACCTCTGATTGCTTCTGGCAAGGCATTCCACAAACGAGCAGCCTGAACTACAAATGACTTGTCCATAAATTTCGTGGAGTGCATTTGCATCTCGAGTGTTAAGTTTTCTGACGATCTCAAAACACGAGCATGTGTATCATGCAGGAAATTAAAACGGGCCTTGAGATAATATGGAGTAAAGGGATTAAACAATATACTGTAAAGAAGGGAAAGGATATGCATGTTCCGGCGAAGGCGAATTGGCAACCACTTGAGCTTAGTGCGGAAATCGGATACATGATCATATTTGCGCAAGCCAAATATGAACCTAATACAAAAATTTTGAAGCCGCTCAAGTTTATTCAGTTGCTCCTCGGTTAGGTCTAGATAGCTGACATCGGCATAGTCCAAGATTGGTAGGAGAAGAGATTCTGCAAGCGCAGTTTTAGTAGCAATTGGAAGAAAATTACGTAACCTTTTCAAGGAACCAGCTGCAGCAAACATTTTACGGCTTGCTTCCTGTACTTGAGATGCCCAAGTAAGGTTTTTGTCTATTATAACCCCCAAATTTTTTACTTGGTTACTAGGTGACAAAGTATTACCATCGAATTTAATCGTTGGTAAACGTGCCCAGTCGATTTTATTGGTCATTGCGGGGCTGCCAATTAAAATAACCTGAGTCTTCAGCGGATTGACTTTTATGCCGTAAGACTTGCTCCATTCACAAATAAGTTCCAGATCGCGGTTGACTGTGGTAATTGCAGAGAATAGTTGATCAGGTGAAGCATGATAATAAATTTGCAAATCATCTGCATAAAGGTGATAGGATGAAACTAGTTTGGATGAAATGGAATTGATAAATATAGCAAAAAGTAATGGAGATAAAACGCCACCCTGCGGCACACCAGCAGAAATATCACACCAGGAGGAAAATAAATCCTCAATGCGAATTCGCTGTCGGCGACCAGACAGGTAACTACGAAACCAGTCAATCACTGCTGGAGATATGTTAATGGAACGTAATATGCCAAGTAAAATGTCAAAGTCAACGGTGTTAAATGCGTTGGAGAAATCAAGTAAAGAGAGAACCGTTACTTTTCCATGTTCCATACCTGACCTGATGTCCTCTGTAACATTCACTAATGCCGTGGTGGTACTATGACCTGCTCGGAAACCTGATTGGAAAGGGTTTAGGAGTTGATTTTTAATAAGGAAATATGACAGCTGGTTATGTACAAGGCGCTCCAAGACTTTGGAAAGGAATGGCAGTATGGAAATTGGCCTGTAGTCTGAAAAGGACGATGGTTTTGACGTCTTAGGTAATGGAGTTACGTGAGCTTCTTTCCAGGCAGAAGGAAAAACACCAGTAATTATGGAATGGTTAAGGATGTGTGAGAGAATAGGGAGGATTTCTTCTATAACAAGGATAATCATTTTCCTGCTGACACAATCACCACCCATGGCACCAGAGGCAATCGACATGACGCTCTTTTTAACATCACAGTCAGAAAATTGACTAAGAGAAAAATATGGATGATTAGGGCACGGCAAAGATAAAAGATAGTTCAAAGTATTAGACTTGCTAGATAAGTCAGAACATTGTGAGGAGGAGAAGTGCTTATTAAGCAAATCGATATTTAAATTAGTAAAAGAAGATGTTTGACGTTGTTTTCCTATGCCCAAAGACCTTAGAAATTTCCAGACCTTCGTCGGATCTTCGTCTTCAATAGACTTGTGTATATAATGGCGTTGTGCATTCCTACACACCTTATTGCATTGATTGCGCACCTTGACGTACTTTTCCCAGTTGGAAGGAGTGGGTCGGCACTTGTACCTAGTTTTGGCAGCAGCTTTCCGCTCAGATATGCTCTTAATTTCGTCAGTGAGCCACGGTGAAGGACGATGTTTCATTTTTACGGGCCGAATAGGAGCATGAACATCATACAACCCTGTGAGTGCCGAAACAAAATAACCTACCTTTTCGTCCACAGAATAACAGTTAAGGAGCTGTGACCAATCAATATTAGCAGCGTCCTTCCGCAGGTTTTCGTGATTGATACTACTAAAATTGCGCTGCAAAAGAATTTTGGGCTTAGCTTTTGGTGGACGGATCTTGTACGAGATAAAAATTAAATCATGGTAGGAAAATGCATCAGCTGAGAATTGACCATGTTTGGCGACATGTTGGGAAGACGAGACAACAATAAGGTCTAGAAGCGAAGGAGAACAGTTAGGAAAATTATGTGTGGCTTTTAAAGAAGGTAAGAATAAATTATTACTTTGTAGGACCGAGCGAAAAATAGCTGAACGGGAATCATTTTTAAGAAGGCAGGTGTTAAAGTCACCCATGATAAGAGTATGACTGTAAGAGGGACACAACATCTCCAACTTGTTTTCTAGAGAAGAGAAGAAATTTATTCGGGAGGATGGACAATAGTACACGCCTAGCAACACCTTTGTATTGCTAAGATTTATTTCTAAAAAGAGATGTTCACCAGCATTCACCGGGGGCGGCTGAGGTGACATGTCAACAACTGTGAAAGGGATATGTGCACGGAGATATATAGCGACACCACCACCACCACCCACCGTACGATCATTTCTTATTAGGTTGAAGCCAGGCAAAGAATAGGTTGCAGAAGGGAGACATGGTTTAAGCCATGACTCTGAAACGAGTATAGCATGAATGTTCTTACAGTCAAAAAATGAACGACATGATTCTTTAAACCTTTGGTAAATTTCTTTGATTTGCGGCGAAATTTGGTGCGTGGCTCGTTTTTATTTTGGATCTCAGTGAGTAATTGACACTTGAAGGTCACACATTGTTTTTAGTGATATCCTGTGAAAAAAATGTCATTTTAACACTGCCGCGGCCAACATTAGAGACTGTTATTCTAATTAAATGAAATAACAAAAGCAGACTTACAGATTACTTACATTTAATGTAATTTTTGTCTGCTAAACAATGTATACATACGTACATTGTATTTACTTATTAAATGCGATTTTGATTGAATATGTGTACAATGTTTTTCTATTAAAATACATAAGTACATATTATTTACATTTTTTTTTCACAAAATGCTTTGTATCATACCAATGCTTTTATGGCGTGTTTGTCAATTCCTTTTGTTGTCATTATAAATGGATTCCACTGTATTTATCACTAATTAAATTAGCACCAACCAGGAAATTAGCACCAATTTTAAATTAAATTTCACCCAAATCTGTTAAGTAGTTTTGGGTGATTCATCAAACTTTCACATTTATAATATTAGTAGCATACTAGATCATGTTTTGTAATATTTTAGTGACCAAATTGACAGCAACGAACTGAGCAACGAAACGGACCTGTTTGCCTGCGACAAAAGCAGTATATCAAGTAGTACGGAAGCTGAGAAGCAAGTACCTGCTAAGTATGTCAACATCAACAATAATGAGGAGAAGCCCAGGCCAGCTGTGGTCTCCAAAAAACCAAGAAAACGGTATGTAGAAAATACAAGGAGTGAAATCTTAGGGGGTAACTTGGGGGGTAAACTGGCGAATGTGTTACGATCTCACGTTACGATTAGTGTCATCGGTGACTCATCGGTAAACAATGAATAATACCTGTCACAAAATACATGAATCTAGGGCTTGGTGGGTGATAACGGACCCAGCGCAGATTGGAGAGTGATAACGGACCCAGCGCAGATTGGTGGTTTTTTTCTCTCAACAAATCTTCAGGTTTAGTTAATGATTTTCAGATCATTGGAGCAAAAGAAGTTTCACTACAGTCGTGTATTATTACCTTTTAAAATCTGTAACACCCATTACAGAAAAAGTGAATGTTTGCATAGCCAATGCTTTATTGTGACAACAATAGTATGGTAATAGGAAAGTAAGGGTATGATTATAATCTAATATCGTTTATTTCGCTCTTTTTGGAGGAGCTCAATGGCGCGGGTGGTTAGCGTAGCGTAGAAGTTAAGCACCTTTTGCAGTGGTCAGTCGTTGGATGGGTGACCAAAAATCTTCTATCGTGCGTTCCTCCATGCTTCGGAAGGTACGTTAGGTCATTGGTCCCGGCTGCATCTGCAGTCGTTAGCACCCGCTAATCTGCACTGGGCCCGCGTTTTTTATTTGAAGAGCCATGTAAGCCTGCAATTACAATTACAAGCACTCACACTAAAGTACTTTAATGATGTAGTGCCTGGGGCGCGGCCCCCGCCATCTCGTTACGAGGCATAGCATTGCAACTGCATGGACACACACACACACACACACGCGCGCGCATACATTCACACACACACACACACACACTTCATAAAGTTATCATATGACAAATCAATTTAATTTCATTATTTATGTTAGTAAATTATATGATTAATATACAATTTTTAAAATTAAATGTAACAAATACTGATTTGATTGTATTAAATCCACAAAAAAAAACGCTGTAGAAACTTTGTTAAAGAAAAATAAAAAAAAAATTTTAGCTTTCGCAAAAGAGTGAAGAAGAGGCAGAATAAGAAACAGAGTGACAGCGACGGATCAAGTGATGAAGCACTGCCCCTCAGTCGTATAGTTGATGTAGACATTGATAAATGCACTGGCGAAGACCACGAGTCACTGGACAATATTATGGGGGTGCCAAACATACTTATACTTGCTAAAGGTAACATCATATTTAGTATTTTTATTAAAAATAGCTTCTGGTGCTATCGACTGCCCAGCACTACTGTCTAGGACCTGGGTTCCGAACCTGGGGGTAATTACCCCTCCGGGGGTAAATCAGCCATACTTCGGGGGTAATAAAGAACCTAATTATTTGGTCAAATCTAAATAATAAGAAAATACTATATAATAATACTACTAAATAGAGCATGCGCTTCTTCTTGCTAGCGAGCCCGCGGGGTGCTGAGTGTGGGAAGTGGGGCGAGATTTCCTCCTGATGATGACAATATTAGAGACGAAGATGTAACGGCCAAATTGGAATTTCTTGGACTGATGATAACATTTTAAAGTTGGGGTAACATCTGTTTTCCTTATAGGTTACGGGGGTAGCAGTATTGGAAAGGTTAGGAAACACTGGTCTAGGATTTCCCTTAGGGCTACAAAAAAAAACCACTTAGATTTAATCCCCTTATATGCATTTCACAGGCAACCTCAAACATTAGACAGAATTCGTATCCCTCGTGTACAGGTAATAGTTTTAATGTTATCTGAGGAAATTGGCATTGATTTGCACTAGCGTTCCTTCACTGAGGCGGATATTGAGCAGTGTATTTTTTGACGAATAGGCAATTGTATAATTCTCTTTTTTTGTAATTATTATGTTTAAAGTGTTCTTCATTATGTTATAATGTGTTTTTATTGGTGAAGACCTGTAATTCGCTTTTTATTATTATTTAAGTTTAAATTCTTTTTATTTATAGCTTTTGGTCTTCCAAAAAGTAAATAAATACTTCCAATCTCTTTTATGTAGTTTAGTTTAGTTTATTAGGGCAGTTTCCGCATTAAGCCCTAATTATTGGACCATTGTGCGTGTCTCGAAACATTCCCGTTCACACTAGCCAGCCTAAGTTAGTCCAGAACGAAAGCATCCTTGGGAGACTCCTGCAAGCTTCCGGAAGCGATCCTGGTGACTGGAGAATTCATGCCTATTGGTCGGCCACACTCCTGCATTCCATGATGACGTGCTGTGGCACCCCCTCAGGTTCGAGTGGTCTGGAGGCTCCAGGCGGAGAGGAGACTCCCCCCGTGGGGAGACGCCATCCGCCTGGAATACCTCTAGAGGCACTCGCCAATTCTCGGCTTGAGGTCCCCTTAGGATCTCGCCGTCCCCAAACCCGGTGACGCTGTAAAGGTCATCGGCGACCAACAGCATACACACTCAAAACAAAAAAATTGCTGTGGCGTTTCTTCTGCCTCCATGCATCCTCTGCATATGGGGCTGTCTGTCATTCCTATTGTGTATAGGTGTTTGTTACAGGACAGTGACCAGTGGCCCAATCGCCTAACCAGATTGCTTTGGAAAACGCTATCGCTTACGATTTCATTTTGTTATTTCTAACCGCCAAAGGTTTTCAAATACCTCACGCTCATTTTCTTTAACATTGTTATTACCAATGCAAAAGAAAAAAAAAGAGCGCGAGGCATTTGAAAACCTCAGGCGGCTAGAAATAACAAAATGAAATCGTAAGCGATAGCGTTTTCCAAAGCAATCCAGTTAGGCGATTGCCCCCCTGTAGGGTTCACGACTATTTTTCTATGAAATACAGTACTTTCAAAGCTGTTACTATTAAGAATATAGTAAATAGATAAAAAAAAATGTGGTTAGAATACTTACTTTATTCTTTTCAATGAATATTCTTTGCTGCTCTGCGGCATGATACATTTTTATGAAAGATTTTACTGGCAAATGTCACTGTACGCAAAATATAGTAGTTTGGCCTACTATACATACTTTTTCAGGAATATAGTAATTGATGCTCTTATATAGTAGGTTTGGCAATCCTAGGGTTCCTATAATCTTGCGAAGTTTGTCCCTATTTAGTCTGGTAAGGGTGAGAGCAAGTCTTTTGTTTGCCAATATTCTTCACATTATTATAATGGCTTCTTGTGATTAACACAGCTTCAACAATTTGAAGGATAAAGGTTATCGCGTTCGGCTGCGATCGTTGGTTTTTTTATATATAGCCAGGTAGGCAAATGACTTGGGGTAGAGTAGAGGGTAGAGATCCTGATGTTAAGTTGTGATAAGGTCCAAACGCGAAGATAGCTGGTACAGCAGTTATAAACTGCCACACCAACCATCCTTACTTTGCAGGCCTGCAAAAATGCTTTTTCACGCCTCTCTTAAAGGAACACAGATTGTAGGAAGGAGGGAACACGTTGAGCACCTTCGCAGTGGTCGGTTATTAGATGGGTGACCATCTCGCTATGCTTCGGAAGGCACGTTGAGCCGTTGGTCCCGGCTGCATCTGCAGTTGCTAACACTGCCACCTGGGCCATGAGCCACCACGAGGGCCCAGTGCGGATTGGCGGGTGCTAAATGACTGCAGATGCAGCCGGGACCAACGGCTTAACGTACCTTCCGAAGCATAGCGAGATGGTCACCCATCTAATAACCGACCACTGCGAAGGTGCTCAACGTGTTCCCTCCTTCCTACAATCTGTGTTCCTTTAAGAGAGGCGTGAAAAAGCATTTTTGCAGGCCGGCAAAGTAAGGATGGTTGGTGTGGCAGAGAGATAGTAAATTTTTAGCCACCCATCCAATGACGCCCGTGCATAGTCTAATTTGACAGCAGTGAACCTCTATCATGCATATGCGCACATCATACTCTATAAGGAATGAAAAGGAGACGTTATTCCATATATATCATTAGTAAAATACTTCTGTCTCTCTCTCTCTCTCTGTGCAGACCCTTCTTCCCAGTGGGCACTTTGGGCAAGTGCCCAGGGTCCCGTGATCGATAGGGGCCCCCTCAGATCAAATTCAAAGTCCCTAGTTCCTGTCAGATCACCAAATGATAACCAACTAGCAAACCAGTGAACCAAATGTTCACCAAAAACTGATTTAAAAAAAAAATATATTTAATTAATTGAGAACTTCGGAGATTTTGTGTGGTTTCGTTTGAAATTCGTGATTTCTCGAAAACCGGAAGTGCTACGTTACTCAAATCCGGTTATTAGACTATTCTTAACTTATAACTTAAATATTCTCTTTATCTATCTCTTACGGTTTGGCCGCTGAAACAGCACCACGGACGGACGGACGGACTTGTCTAACAGATAAGGGATATTTATTACCAAAAAACTTATATAATTTGGATGAAATCGAACCTTAATTACTGACTACAATACCAAGTTACTAGCAGCTTTTATTTAACTCGCTCCATTTCAAGTCATAATCCACATCAAAGTTATAGGGGCCCCATTATCCTAATATGCCCCGGGCCTCCAATAGATTAAAGACGGCCCTGTGTGTGTGCGCTCGTGGTGTAAGTAGGGTATTAATATCGTTGATTTTAATATTATTTTTTACAAACACAGCGCATTCAAAAATGTAAAGGCACGGCAGAGACAATATTTTTTTATTCCATATATATCATTAGTAAAATACTTTTGTCTCTCTCTCTGTGTGTGTGTCTATTACAAATATATGAATACCCACTTGAAACGTCATCGTTATATGTGTTTTAATATTAAATCTGCATTGGTGTAGATTCTGGCATGATTCTCTAAACCTAATATTTGAAATGCAATGTTAATGCACGAAACTTTATTTATTTATTGACGTTTCGCAGCCTTTTCAGGTCTGCTTTGTCAGAATAATGATTTTTTATCTAATTTTGTCGAGCTACCTTCGAAAGACTTTTCTTGAGCGTTTGGTTATTTCGCTGTTAGATTTTTAGTTAGTAGTTTACGGTAGTTAGGGTCAAATAAATAAACTCAAAATTACAAAAAAAAAGAATTTTAAATAAAGTACTTTATTAACTAAATAACTAATAAATTCATACATAGACAATAAAATTTTAAAAATCTAACAATAAAATAACCGAACGAAAAAATGATTATTCTGACTCTGCAGACCTGAAAAGGCTGCGAAACGTCAATAAATAAATAAAGTTTCGTGCATTAACCCGTTAAAACTACTTTTATTTAATGAGTGATGTGCGTGAAAACCTAAGAAACAAATATGCAATTTTAAGTCTAGATAATCATGCTAGAATCAACAACACTGCCAATGTATTCATCTTTTATAAATTTAATCAACTCACTAGCTAACTCATAATTGTTTAGATCTGAAACCAAAAACGAAGTGTGAAAAACAGCCCATAAAGAAAGATGAAATTAAGCAGAAGGAAACACCTGAAGGCATAGAGCAGATAGAGAGGGATTCAGAAACAGCTAGTTGTCTATTGAAAGAAGCCAAGTTGTCTATGGAACTGAAGAATTGCACCATGTGCAGTTTGTCTTTCCGAGGTGACAGAGGCCTGAGGTAATAATAGATGTTAGATTTAAATATCTAGTAGTTGAATTAAATACTTAAATTATTTATATATTTATTATGTTGCTTTAAATCTAAAATAGCAATAAGTTGCCATGTGGTACTATTTAAGTCAGCTGGTTTACTTATTTGATGGACTAAGAAACAAGTAACACAATAATTATGTCAAACTTAAAAAAAAAGAAAAATTATTATTCTGTAACCAAACTACATCAACGCAAAAGTTATTGAAGCAGTCTTTTAGGTAAACATATATCTGTGTTAGAATACATCGCTTTCTTGTGTTGTATAATATATACACTCAGCGGCACGGAATCTTGGCCAAACACTTCTTAAGCTATAGCATAAGTTTCAAGTGTTTACAACAAATGTTTTTAATGAAGGTGGGTCATAAAAATGCTAAGCTTTGTTTTAAAAGGGTAATTCCAATATGTTTGAGCGTTTCATGGTGTGAATTGTGAGATTTAATCACATCGCGTATTTTAAGCAATATAATTGGAGTTTTGAATGTTGTTATATGTGTAGTTTTCTGTGCCGTTTTTTAATTTTTGTGTTATTTTGGATTTTATTAAAGTGTAAACGTACTTAAAAAGCAAAAAAAATGCCTTTAACGCCAGCACAAGTTGCACAATCGGTATCCCTAATTGACCAAGGGCTCACCCAACGTGAGGTGGCTATTGTACTCAATGTGCCGCGTTCATCAATGCAGTACGCCTTAAAACGATGCCGTGAGACAGGTACCTATCGCCGTAGACCAGGCAGTGGAGGTGTAAGATGCACATCGGCTCGGGACCACCGTTTTATCGTTTTGTAAATTTTGAGAAACCGCTACCTCACTGCGGTTGAGATACGATAGCGACTCCAAATTGCAAGTGGTGTGAATGTAAGTGAGCGTACGATAAGAAGACGAATGGAGGAGGTGAATTTAAAAGCGCGAAGACCAGCCCGAGGTCCAGAACTCCTCAGACAGTACCGAGTAGCTCGGCTTCGTTTCGCCCGAGAACACGCCAACTGGACACACGATCAATGGGCTAATGTTTTGTTCACGAATGAGTGCAGAATCGCGTTACGTGCACCAGACGGTCGATTACGAGTGTGTAGAAGAAGAAGAGAGAGGTCTCTTCCTATTACTACTACTGAAACTGTTAGTTTTCATGGAGGCTCCATAATGGTATGGGGAGGAATAAGTTCCGACGCTCGTACGGAGTTGGTTATCATTGACAATCGGTTAACTGCAACTCGATACATTGAGGAGATCCTACAGGATCATGTTGTACCCTATATGGGGCTTATTGGATACGACCAGTTCCAGTTAATGCACGATAATGCACGCCCACACTTTGCACGATGCGTTGAGGACTACCTGAAAGATCTTGGTATTCAAAAATTACAGTGGCCTGCGCGTAGCCTGGACTTCAACCCCATAGAACACATCTGGAACATACTCAAAAGAAAAATTTAAACCTCTTCTAACCCGCCGCAAACGCTAGGCGAGCTTCGAAATGCAGTATTGACCGCATGGGAAACCTTATCGCAAGGTGATGTTGGAAACATCATCCAAAGTATGACATATCGGATGTAGGCAGTCATCAGGGCATGGGGTGGAAACAACCGATACTGACGTGTGCAAAAAAACCAAAAAACAACGTTGACTATTCAGTGTGCACTGTTTGAAAATTAAGTAAAAGTTTCTGTGAAAGTGACACTTTTCATCAAAATTTTCTTTTTGATGCAATAATTTCTTGAACACTTAAACAATTGTTAAAAACCATTATAAAAGTGAACATAAGTTAGATCTAAATTAAATTTAATGCAAAAAAACATATTGTATTCAAATCAAAGCAAAAGTAACGGGTGGCCAAGTTTCCGTGCCGGTGAGTGTATATATATATATATATATATCAATATTTTTTTGAAGTAAAACTTCTTTACGCACGCTTGACTTGGGGGGTAAGCCCGCCAGCTTGCGTTACGCGCTACGCTACGCGTTACGAAAAGTGTTTTCGGGCGAGGCGAACGGGAGTTGAATGAGGGATATAAGCAAGAGAAAGCAGTGCGCGCGCACATTTTCTTTCTCTCTTTCTCTAGTAAATGAAATATGTATATGTATATATATATATATATATATATATACATACAGATGGAACTAAAGCTACACTTCAGTCATATGGTGATAATAAGCAAATCCGTTTTTTTTTCAATTTCCAGACGCCACATGGCCATGTCTCATATTGTATCACTTGAACCTAACGTTAAGCAAGGGAGTGCTAAACAAATCGAGCCAGCTTAAAAATGGTGAGTAATTTATCTAATATATAAAACTAGCTGTCCCAGCGAACTTCGTACCGCCATAAAATAATAAGGGTTGGTGGTAGAAGGGTGAAAATTTAGGGTTGTATGTATTTTTGTATGATGTATCATAAAAACATAAAAACAAAAATTTATGGGTGTACCACCCTTAACATTTAGGGGGATGAAAAATATATGCTGTCTAATTCTCAGACCTACTGAATATGCATATAAAATTTCACGAAAATCGGTCGAGCCGTTTCGGAGTAGTTCAATTACGCACGCCCGTGACACGAGACTTTTGTATATTAGATTCTCGTGTCCCTAAATTTTCACCCTTCTAACACCAACCCCTATTTTTTTATGGCGGTACGAAGTTCGCTGGTACAGCTAGTATATTTATAATATGATTAAATATGTACTAGCAAACCAGTGAACCAAATGTTCACCAAAACCTGATTTAAAAAAAAATGTATTTAATTAATAGAGAACTTCGGAGATTTTGTGTGGTTTCGTTTGAAATTCGTGATTTATCGAAAACCGGAAGTGCTACGTTACTCAAATCCGGTTTGTAGTCTTATCAGACTATTCTTAACTTATAACTTAAATATTCTCTTTATCTATCTCTTACGGTTTGGCCGCTGAAACAGCACCACAGACAGACGGACGGACTTGTCTAATAGATAAGAGATACATATAATTTTAACTATTAGGGTTACTTTTGAATATTATTAGTACCTATGCTATTTTTAATTTTTTCTTAAATTATTGATAATCTTCACTTTTATTTGATGTTATATCAATTAATTATAGTATAATTATAGCAATAGGGTATTTTACAAGTTTTAGAAAACGATCTCACGTTATTTACTAATGTTTATAGACTCAATAAAAAGAGGATATTCATCATTATGTTGTGTATTTCGGTAAAAAAACTAAATTTAAAAACTCTATTTTCAAGTTGCCGCGAAAAACGTATCTCTGGAAAATATGGCGACTTACTGGTGTGTGACGTCACACGACTGTCATTAAAACCTTTTTTACTTTAACCGGAAGTTAACTTCCGTGTGTATTCCCAACCGTTTTGGGGTCACGTGACAAAAGACAAGAAAACTATTAACTTTATCGTGGGTTTTTAGTAAAATTATGAATATTTTTTTCTGTAAAAATAGTAAAAAGTCCTGCCAATATTCATTCTAAATACAGATACTAACAATTGGTACTTTATTTTTAATACTGGCAAATACCCTATTACTTTGAACTTTACATGATTTAATAATATACAGTCTATAACAGGTATTTATTTTATTACTTGTTAGGAGTTTTATTATTATTTATTCATAATATAAAACATGTTTATTTTCTAGATGTCCAGGAGAATGGGAGCGACTTATTTTGTTATGTAATATTGAGATAATTATATATAATATTATTGTTAATGGGTTTCGTGCAAACTATACAAAATATTTAGAAAATTCAAAATTCACAATATTTTTAAAAACAGCATTTTTTCTTTTCTTTAGTTAGATGAATAAGAGTCTTTATAAAATCTTATTTATTTGTTTAAATAAAACAATTTTAACAAAAGTCACATTTGCAATTAGTAAAGTTTGATATTCAAAAATCATGGAATTATTAATGGTTTTTTTTGCACGGAATCAATAAAATCTTTGTATTGTATTTGGGAAGCTATTTTGGCTATAGATAGATGATGAGTAGATAGGTCACTATAGTGAGGATTCGTGTGATCATCGCATATTTTGTCTCGCTCTTTCAAAGGGCATTAGAAAGAGATGGCACCTAGTGTCTGTATGAAAGGATCTAATTTGATAACTATGGTCATGTTGTTTTGACCTTCAAAAGGTCCAATTCGAGTTTGGTCAACATGAAATTTTTATCCGAATCTAAGAAAAACTCTGATAAGAAATATTGCTCTAATGTTAATTATATTTAAGAAAAAGAAACGAAAGTTTTTAGATCTCTATGGTCTTACAACATGATGGTAGTGTATCATTGTAAGACGAAAGGTGATTTGTCTGTGATCAGGAAGGAAATGTGATTGTAGAATTTATAGGTAACTGAAAGTAAGCACCATAGACAAGGCGTTGTCTTCATTTATTTTTTCGATGAAGGTTTTGTCTATGGTGAAATTAGGGATTATATGCTGTTTGGAAGTGTTTTTGAGTACAAAATTCAAATTTATAAAAAGAATATTAGTCAGTTTAAATTTAAATGAAAAAAAATGTTTTAAAATTAACCAAAATTTGTAGTTCTCTTCTAGCTGTTAAGGGTTGAATCGATTATAAAGAATGTCTATCAATCGGTGTTATGGTTTAAAACAAGTTAATGTTAGTCTATGGTTAAGGTGTTGCCTGGTGGGAAAATTAATTGCCTAAGTTGTGTTTACAAAACATTTATTTTACGGTGCTCAGTTTAATGACCATTTAGAATAATATTGGACGAAAGCGAGCTGTTCAAAAAGTTTTCTATATTATAATTTAATTAAAAAAAATGTTCATAGATATCAATAATATAGGTTATGTGTTACGGAAATGGCAAGTCCAATATTATTCGAAATGAATTTATTTTTAGCAAATCAGTTTTTTATTATGAATGGGATACATATTTTACGTTATAGCCCAAAATATGTTGAAAAGACTTAGTTTTATGAATAGTTTGAGCTCAATGGCTCATAACTCTGGCATGTTTCTCTAAAATTAAAACTAAATTTGAAAACAGTCTCTTTCCTATTCTCCATAGAGTATGATATGACAAGGAAATACTATTGACAATTTAGTTTTAGAGAAAGATTAAGATTTTGTGAGCTGAAATGAGTTTATCCGCTTTGCGTCGTCTTGAACGCGTACATTGTACATATTAAGCTATAGTACGGAGACAATCTTTTAAGCCATTCTAACATAGCTAGTCAGATGTTGTTCGTTTAAGCCTTAAGCTGCAAGGCAAGGCTAGGAAAATTTCGACGCGGCTAATAGGGCCGTGGTAGCATAATGGTCAGTGCATTCGCCCGGATAGCGAAGGATGCGGGTTCGAGTCCCGTCCGCTGCCTGGTCCGCGTGGATTTTTTTCTAGTAAACTTTTCTTAATATTTTATTAATTATAACGACGATTTCAGCCGTATAACACGCCTAATTCTAGCCGGTCTATTAAGTTGGTTAAAAGACTATAACTGACAGCAATATATCTTAATTATGCTCTATAGAAAATGAAAAGGAGACATTGCTCAAATTTAAATTAAAGTAAAATTCTAAAGCTTACAGAATCAAAATTGGGTCCATTTCTCAGTAGTTTTCTTGTAATGAGAAATCTCCAGAACATTTCGTAAATCGATATATTGCGATATCGATTCCTTATAAACCAAATTACTAATGTCTGGTTTAGTATATGTCAAAGAAAAGATCTCTGATATGTGTCATTTTTATAACATAATTATCGTAGATATTAAACAATTAAAAATGCTTATTTTTTTGTTATATATATTTATCCCAATGAACTGGGATGAGTTAATTGAAAATAATTGAATTTGTTCACATTTTTCAAATTGCATTGTTCAATTCGAATTTAAACAATTAAAAGTTTCATATTCTCAACGTATAGTAGTTACATAATGCATTGCATATTTAATACAAAAATGTATACATTGCAAATTTTTATTCACCTAAAATACATTGAAAGATGTATTCTGGCCATGAAAATGAAAAATTTCTTCTACGCTATTTGAACTGAAATCACTAAAAATCATTCATAATTTGTTTTTGTTTAAGAATAGCCTCTTTGTATAGGTACCTAGTTTAAACGCTCACTTTTTTTGGAACTCATAGTGTGACGTCACAGTCCATATAGCAATCTAGCAACAAATTAAACAAGTCCACAAATTACATTAGGATGTAAGGTGCTTGCGCACTACGCACTCTCACTTAAAACTCGTTGATTTTGACATATCCTGTGGACATAGCGCTTATTTGTTGTTATGTATTTTTACGTCACAACCGCTTTGTCCTTTTCCAGATATTTGAATTTCCTGCGACTTTTTCGTACTTTTTAATAATAAATTTTTTGCTCTAAAATATTTTTTATTAAAAAATATTGATGGAGGCACAAAAGTTATAGAGTTTATATAAAAAAGAGCCTTATTTGAATTACATGCATATTCCCTTAAAGTGAATAATTCTAAAATCCATGGTCCAAGCAAATCTTTGACTTTATTTTAGCGGAATGAAAATTCAGTGTTGTAAATTAAAAATGTACCTATTAAGTATATATTTTTGTTGAATTACCTATTTTTAAGTTTTAATAAAATATTATTTACATTTAACTTAAGCCTAATAAACAATTTATTAGTAAGCAAGTTATTTTTATGCAATATCAAAAAAATTGGTTAAACCGTTTTAAAAGTTATTATTATATTCTAGTCTAAATTGAATTCTTGTATTCGAAGTTAAGTTTTTAGTAAATAAGTGATAAAAATTAATTGTAAAAAAATATTATTATGTTTAATTTGATCTGCTGTATAACATATTTAAGAAAATATTTGAATATTCTTTTGTTGTATGTCAAATATTTCATTCGAATGCGTGTTTTATACGGGGTATTCGAAAGCACCTATAATGTCGCAGCCTATTGAATGCCTAGAATTTTCATTAAAATAACCAGCATCCAATGAAATAATTGAATGACAATTTGACTAGCCAATTCATCAAAAGTATCGTTGTGTTAAACCCTCAAATGTGTAAGGAATATGACGCCCAAAACCCTGCCTGTGTTAGTTCTTCATTTTGTTTTTCACAGCCGGAATTTGTTTTGATTTTCCGTTAGATTTTCCTCATTCGAGTTCTACTGTACATCCAGGCTTCATTTATGTCTTAAATCAATCCTAAATAGTTTAATACTGGTGCCAATTCTGGCGTGATTCTTTAAATTTAAAACTAAATTTAACATCAGTCTCTCCTTTTCATTCTGTATAGAGAATGACAAGGATATACTGCTGTCAAATTTAAGTTTAGGTTTAGAGAACCATGCTAGAATCGACACCATTAGATGTGTAAATTAAAAACCATTACTAAATATAATAAAACGCAAAATATGAATAATTTTCTCTATTCGTGGCAGCAATCTGCCGTCTCCACGGACAGGGATTGATTTAGTTATATTGAAAGAAAGAAAGAAAAATCATTTATTGGCCTTAACACACAAGTATGTAACAATAAGAAATTATATAAGCACCGATAAAAATAAAATGTGTGCGTGTACTAGTGTACACACGTAAGAAGTGAAACTTCTTTATGACCTTATTTTTTTCGAAAAATGATCTACATGCAACTTTCCAGATATATATATATAGGCGTGCGCTAAGAAACTCACCCACTAAAGGGGTATAACTACACCTTACCTTACCTTACCTTACCTTACCTTACCTTACCTTACCTTACCTTACCTTACCTTACCTTACCTTACCTTACCTTACCTTACCTTGTGTGAAACACGAATATTTGCTGTCGATACTTTTTTTTTTAAAGTTGACAGAAGAAGCAATTGTTCGGATGAGGTAAATAGTGCTCTTTTAAAAAAAAAGTAACCGAAAAAATGTGACGGTAAATTTTTTTCCAACGCCGATAAAGAAGTTTCGCTTCAATAAAAACAAACGAATAAAAACAAACGGACAACAACAATATGCAGAAAGAAGAAAGGCCAATTAGGACCCTACCTCAGCTTAATGCTGTTACAATGGGACGGGAATATTCCCACCGTAACAGCGCTGGTATTCTGGCTGTACGAGATTGCTGATAAAAGCTAAGATTACAAAATGGTATTAAAATATATATAGTTATAATAGAATACATGAACTGAGTTAAATAAATAATTATAGTTTATTAAATTCCTAATGAATTAATATTAAGGCCGCAAGTGTTACCCACGCGCCCACACAGCGAGAGCCGAGCCCGGAGTGTATTGGATATTGGATACTAGAGGTGTCCTTCGGTTTCACCCGCACCAATTTGTGGGAAAACCTTACCTACTAATTTTTTTTCCCCATATTCTACCTCTTTGCCGTTTGTTGAATTTTTGTTTATGCTGCCCTGGAGCTGTATTTTTGAATCACTCGCCTTGCGTCGAACGCTCGATTTCTACTAATTTTCATTCGACATAATTAATTCCGTATTTTTGAATCGCTCGACGTCAACGAACGGTCTCGATCACTCGTTGTAGTGTTGGGTAGGACACGACTTGAAAAAGAGTTTGTAAGAGTAGCCTCTTTTTTGTACTGAGCCAGTACAATGTCCCACTTCAAATGAGGCGAGGCGTACTGAAGCTCGGCAATACATTTGAAGTGACGAGTACAAATATGACATATTCTCTTAGCGTAGAAG